TCGGGGATCGAAGCAAGTACCAATAAGGAATGAGGTCACTTGCTGCAAGGCAGGTGGCTTCCCCATGAGAATGCAAGGCTACCTCATGAGTCCTACTTCAGAGGGTGACCCAGGAACTTTTGATTCATGTCCAAAGCAGCTTCTATAATTGCTCTGCCTTGACCTTGGGAAGATGCGGAAAGGATAACATTTAGGATTAGCTTTATAAGACCTTCCTATGGGCAAAGTTGTCTGACTTTCACCTAATGACTAACAAGCCACTATGAGCCTCAGTAGGTGAGGACCCACCCCCTCTCACCTCCCCTACTGCCCAGCTGGGACATGGGCTTTGGCTTCTATCCATAGCATTGTTCTAACCAGATGAGGTGTTGTAGATCAGCTCGGGATGGGATATTTTCCCAGACATATTATTTAAAGAAAATAACTCCCTTCCTCCCCTGATAAACAGCTGTTATGGCTAAAAGGTAACCTGACTGGGGCTTAAAAGTCACTTGACTCTGTTGACTTTCAAGATATTTTGCAAAAACAGTAATAAAAATTGTATTTATTGGGTCTTCATTTGTGAGACGATTTGGTATACCACAGTGGTTAAAAACACAGGCTCTCTCCAGAGGAGGTCTACTTTGCCTAGTTGTACCTCATAAGTAAACTTGGACCTCATAAAGTTATTATGAGAATGAAATGGGTGAATATGAGTGAAGTCCTTGGACCAGTTTTGGCCACGTAGTAAGCCTTCACTAAGCATCTGTTTTTATTCCTACAGGGGGGCACTTGGTAAGCCCTTCACAAATACCATCTCATGTGATCCTTAGAACAAATCTGTGAGATAGGGCATATCTCCGTTTTATAGACAGAGAAACAGAAGCCACACAGTTAGGAAATGGCAGCAGGTCTGCTAGACTTTTAAACACTGTGTTACACCAAGTAGCAAGAAAGACAAATGGTCAGATGTTTTAGGGTAAATGAAGATTTGAGAATCTTTTAAGTTTTTTTCCCCCAGAGATTATCAAGGTATCAATCTAGGGGGGCACATCAGGAAACATGACTATGAATCAGCTGTCGGATAAACCAGCCAGGATGGAGCCCACGTCATCACAGGAGTCAACAATGTCACAGAAAACATCAGCTGCTTATTCCCATATAGGTTTCCCCTTAAGACATGAAAGGGGAGTTCAAAGAAAATGGGCCAGATTGCTCTGAAAGTCATATTACTAAAACATATTTATTTTTATTAGCTTTTTTGTTTCAAGAGTTATATTCTCATTAGCACCATAGCAAAAATTCATGTTTTATGAATTTCTCCTAGCTTTTCATGTGATTCTGGGGTAGTATGCAGGGTTGTGTTCAAAACACATAAACCAACTCAACTCAGTAAACATATATTGAGGCCCTATCATGACAAAATGCTATTCCAGAGACCACGGTGAACAAGCTGTGGCCCTGAACTCAAAGAACTTACTGTCTCTAGAGCTGTGCTGGCCAATACAGTAGCCAGTAGCCACATGGGGCTATTTAAATTTGAATTAATTAAAATTCAAAACACAATGCCTCAGATGCACTCGCCACATTTCAAGTGCTCAAAGATATCTGTGGCTCCTGCCTGCCATATTGGACAGGGCAGATACAGAACAATTCCATCACTGCAGAAAGTTCTACTGAACAGTGCTGCTTTGGGGCAGAAGACCTTCTTGTTCAGGAATGTTACACCCCAATCTGTGGCTAGAGTGTGGCTTACCCTCAGAGTAACGAGCGGGCAGCCGAGGCACTCCACAGACTCAGCACTGAAGACATGGATGCAGGCTCTGCTTCTGACCTACACTAACCTTGGGCAAAGCTCTTTGCTCCCCTGATCCCAGTTTCTTCACCAGCAAAGCAAGAACATCAGACCACAAGACCTCTAGGGCTCTGTCCAAGTGCCCCATGACTGAGGTACTGGTAGAACATTCTATGTGTGTGTCACAACAAAGACTTTCATCTCCCCAAATAATTTTGTTTTTCATTTTTGAAATTAAATTTCAGATTCACTCTAACTGCTAATACTAAAATTCTCTATGTGCAGTTCTAAACTTGACAAAGCAATAAAATGAAATTATTTTATTATTCATCTTTGTAGAACATTGAGGTCTCCCTAAAGCAAATTTAAATACACATTTAAAAAATGTACTTTAGCAGTTCAGTTCAGCAGCCCCCTGGCCCACGCATCACACTGTCAATCCTTTGTCCTCGAGCAGTGTGGTTGTGTGGGTTAACTACTGACAAACACTGGGTGCCAGGCCCTGGTCAGGGACTATGCTAACAGTCTGCATATTAGATCCCTCCTACCCCCACCCCCAACACACACAAGCTATTTCTCAAATAGCAAACCTTACATTATTTCTGCCCAGAAGAAACAAACGTTTATTGAGAACCTTTGGGGTGTGACTTATTTAAGTCCTACTTCTCATTGAAAAACTGGTCAATGTTAGGCTGGGCAATGCCTGTTTGTGAGAGAATCACTCCCTACAGAAAATTCTCCATTTCCTGTAACTCTATGGTGGGTGACTACACATACTGGTATATTTCCTTTTGAGATAATTATTATCTCAATAGCATGGTGTCTCTTAAGCCTGGGCCCTTTAGAATTTTTCATGTACCTGTGTTCCTCTGCCCATATCAGCTAGAACCCTAATAGTTTTCTTCCTTTTAATCTACAAGACTGAGAACATTGCATGTTTCCGCCCCCAGGGCATGGAGGCTGGGGTGGGACAGTTTAGTTCAGGAGGCCCAAGAAGTGTGGGTGTGCAGCCCTTGTTCAAACACAGCCTCTGAATTGCCTGAGGGGCAGGTGGGACTTGGGAGTGAGGGGGTCTTTGGTGAATGAATTGGGTTTGCCTGCTTCTTCCCAGTGCAGTGGAGCTTGGTTCTGTGGTCAGGTCCTTATACCCTGTATGCCTTTGTTGTTTCTTTATGTCTCTGGTAATAATTGTGGAATCAAATGAACTGGGGTTTGATACCAACTCTTAGCACCCTGGGAGAGTCACTTAGCCTCCTTGAACCTAAGTTCCTGGGCTGTCAAGTGAGGATAAGTAGTAATTGTTGTTCCACCTACTTGACAAGACAGTTGTGAAGGTGCTGAGTGCCAGGCTGTGGATCCAGCCTTTCCCATGGCTCCAGGTGTGGCAGCAAGAACTCGGCCTGCAGGTGAAATGGGGAAGGGAGTCCCAGCCCTGCCACTGTCTCCCTGTGTGACCTCAGGCAGGTCTCTGAGAAAAAATAAGATGTTTTATAAAGCTCAGTTTCCTCTTCAGTAAAATGAGATTCCAGGTAACTTACAGACTGTAGGGATGAATCTGTTCATTAAAGCCTGTGGTACATCAACAGCCCAGCCTTCCTGCTTGCTTTCCCCCTTCTCCACTACCAGTGATCATAGTCTGATCCCATAGATCATATCCCTGCTTAAAACCCAACATTAGCTCCTACGGCTCTTTAGGGCTTGCCCAGAACTTCCCTGCTCTGAAAGCCCCGTGTTCAGGGAAACCCTGGGTTGGTCGTTGGTCGTTCACACTACTGAGTCTCACAGGGCAAACCGTCTGGTCCCACCCTCCTTTCTAGTGCTGCTCTCACACTCCCCTCCCTTCACCCTATGCTCCCTTCTGTGCCTTGCAATTACCTGGGGAGCTTTTGACAAGATATGGATGCCCTGCCCTTCCTCTTGAGATTCTGATTTAATTGTTTGCAGTGGGGCCTGGCATAGGTATCTTTTAAAGCTCACCAGTGGTTCTAAAGCACAGCCGCTGATGGGAACCACTGCTCTATTCTTGTAGGTCCCCAGACACCCATGTTCTGTTCCCTGTGCCTGAGTTGACCTTTCCCCCACTTTCCTCTCCAGCTAATTCTTGCTTATCCTCCTACTCAGGAGGCTGTTTCTCCAGGCAGCCTCCCCTGACCCCTCCAGGAAGACTTAGCTGCATCCCTCCGCTGGGCTTCCCCAGTACACTGGGCTTGCTTTCATCAGAACCTGCTCCTTCCACATTATGATTGTTGGCTTACTCCAATCCTCTCCCTCATTAGCTCTCAAGTTGCTTTCAGAAAGAGAGTTTTATCTTTCCTTCTTGTATTCCTAGAGTCGACCAGGCTCTGGCACACTGCAGACTCTTAGTATGCATTCAGGGAACAACTTAATCAAGACAAGACTATCTGACCTCTTGAGAGTTACATTCTAAGAAAGAAATGTCAGTACCAATAGCCCTCGCAATGATAGGAACAAGAGGTTAAAGAAAAAAATAATAAAAACAGATGCATGTAACAATATATGTGCTTTAACCAATCTATACAAGTGGACAACCCTCATATTCAAATTTTTAAACATTCTTAGTTCTGCTCTTTTGTGGGTAATGGTTTTTTTCCTCTTCCAGGAGAAGAAAAGAGGCATATTACAGAAATTCTTCCTCCCCCGGCATTACTTGTCACAGAAATGTAATTGGAAGTGATTTCCCTGACAAGTCATTTTGGCTGTCGGTTATTTTCTCTATTCCTCCTTGCTTTTCCCTCAGCTGGCCATCTGTGTGTTTGGAGAGAGCCAGAAAGGTTCAATGCTAGGAATGTTTCTCTCTCTCTTTAAAGCTCTTTAATCGTCAGGCTTTCTGATCTTCAAAGCAGCCTGTAGCCAATGTGACCCCACTCCCTCACCTCCCCATGCTGGGGAGTAAAAGCCTGGAGTATTTTTGTCATTTTGAGGACTTGCATATTTGGATAGCCTTGGACATCTGGAAAGTGTGGTTTTCACTAGCTCTACAGGGATAAGCATGTCAGCGTTTCCAAGCTCTCTTGCACCCTTACAACTGGACGCATTGAAAAATTAACACCAGACTCCAGAGTTAAGCAAACATTAAGTTTATAGGCCTCCTTGCATTTGACCATTTCCTGGGGCAGCAGCCCTTATCCTCTGCCTTTTTGTGTGTGCAGTTGCGTGTTTGCTGTTGTTGCTCCTCAAACTCTCTCAACTTTGTGACTATCTGCAGTGCTTGGTCCTGGATAAGTTTGAAAACTATGATGATGAAACTCAGCTCACCCAACGTGCCCTGTCTCTACTGGAGGAAAACAGATTCTGGGCCGGAGTGGTATTCCCTGACATGTATCCCTGGACCAGCTCCCTACCACCCCATGTGAAGTACAAGATCCGAATGGACATAGATGTGGTGGAGAAAACCAATAAGATTAAAGACAGGTGATGTTTCAGGAAGGGCTTGCTGGGTTTCTCCAAAGTCAGTGGGAAATTATATTTGGTAGAGAGAAAGGGATTGAGACTGTTATCAGCTTATATATCAACAAAATTAAGCTATATAAGAAAAAAGATAATTTATAAAGCTCAACAAAGAGTCCTTGGATGAAAGCAATTACCGAGTCATGTTGTGGCTAATATTCAAAACAGATTTAAACTGAGGACTAGGAAATAGAATTGGATCCTTTGGAAACTTTTAGGAGAAGGGTTTTAAGAGAATGAGTTCTGAGTCACCCTGTGGTCGGGAAGTTGTGAGTGAGCTGTCCGAGCCCCTTTGTCCCTCTGTGTCTTCTCAGGTACTGGGATTCTGGTCCCAGAGCTGATCCTGTGGAAGATTTCCGGTACATCTGGGGCGGGTTTGCCTATCTGCAGGACATGGTTGAACAGGGGATCACAAGGAGCCAGGTGCAGGCTGAGGCTCCAGTTGGAATCTACCTCCAGCAGATGCCCTACCCCTGCTTCGTGGATGATTCGTGAGTCCAAAGTTCCCGATCCTCCTCCATGACATGCTAACTGGTGTGCTGGGGTAGGCTGGGGTGGGCTGGGGGTGCTCCTAAGACTTCAGTGTCTTTGTAAACAGCCCCAGGGACCAGAGCCAAATTGGAGAGCATGGAGCTCTGACTAAGGAACCTGCTTCTCCCAACCTCCAATCAGGCACAGATGAATAAGTGCAGTGGTGTGAGAGGAAAAAGAGTTGGTGTAGCTGGAAAAGGGAAGGGGAAAATTAAAGCAAGGGAAGTGAGGCTAGGGGAGGGGACAAATTCCCCACTATGTAGTATGTTTGGTATGTGGAAGGTTTCTGGTCAGAATGTTTGCCCAATGATTGCCACATTAGCATTCATTTTGGACTCTGCATGGCCAGTAGATGTGGTTCCTAGGAGCCCTGGAATAATGCAGCCCCCTTCCCTAACATTCCTATGATGTTAATGACAAGATAGAAGAATGTGTTAGATAAGCTCAGGCCCCACCTCCCTGGCCACACCTATCCTAGGCCCATATATCTGTTGACCAGGAGCAAGCCAAGCAAGCAACCTGCTGTTTCACTGAACATGGCTTTGGGGGGTGGTAGAGAAGGGGCCGGAGTAGAGGGTTGAGAAGGATCATTTGTCATTACAGATGAGTCAGATACACCACCAGGACAGCAGTAGAGACCTACAATTAGTAGAGTTTACCTAAAACCCAGTGTGAACACAGGAAACCCTCTTTTAATAACTGTCCAATGGGTTTTCCAGCCTCAGCTCTACAGAAAACTTGAGATAACAGTGGCCAGTCTGCAGTTAGTTCGGGTTTGGGCAATAGGCAGAGCTGGGAAATGTAACCATGGGCAAAAGCCCAGGTCCACTTTAGGATCAGAATGGGAATGGCTGGTGGGAAAGTGAGGTGGGTGTGGGGAGGCAATAGAGATCTGGGTCTTTTGGTGTGGGAGAGTCCTCTGGTGGCCAGTCCCAGAAGTGCATGCTTTATGAATCATGCTTTTCTCCCTAGGGCCATCTTGAGTGAAACCCTCCCACGCTGGAATTGGGCTCATCCAATGACTACACATAACAGTTTTCAATAGATAATAATCCCAAGGGCTATACTAGCACATGAAACACAGGGAAAACATGTGTAAAGTTCACAAGAAAGTCATCTCAGTATATCAAATCTATCCTGTTTGCCGGGTAGATATACCACAATCTGCTCCACCTGTGCATGGCTGGTAGTAGAGCCAGTGGCTGTTGGATAACTGTTTAATGATGGATCATTTTCCTTCTGAAAGTGCTAAACTGATTAGTTATTTTGTGCCTCTTTTTGCATAACTAGGGTTTGAACTTCCAGGGCAGACTGTGCTGGGGTGACTGACCCCCTTGGGGAGCCAAATTATTGATCTTACAACTACCACTTGTCCTTGTCAGTGCTCTACCCTCTTGAGTTTCAGTGTCAGCATGTAGCTGTCTACTCTAATTCCATCCACATCATCAAGTCCACAGTCTTTTCCTTGCAAGGCTTTACAGGGAAGATCTTTGACATAGAGTATGTAACTTTATTGACACATTTTACTCACAGAGCATTCACTTGGGCTAACCAGAAAATCAACACTCTGCTATAAAGAAAAAATAATGCTTCAGGACTAACGTAGAATGTATTAAAAGATTCCAGCCCATTGAATGTCCAGGGGACGGTTTCCTGTTTTCCTTTCCCTGCATCTGGGCTTTGTTCTCAACACATTCATTCAACAAATATTTTTTCTGCCTCTACCAGGTACAGAGCTCTCTACCATTCTGCTTCTCTCCTCTTGCTTTAGTTTTATGATCATCCTGAATCGCTGTTTCCCTATCTTCATGGTGCTGGCATGGATCTACTCTGTCTCCATGACTGTGAAGAGCATCGTCTTGGAGAAGGAGTTGAGACTGAAAGAGAACTTGAAAAATCAAGGTGTCTCCAATGCAGTGATTTGGTGTACCTGGTTCCTGGACAGCTTCTCCATCATGTCAATGAGCATCTTTCTCCTGACGATATTCATCATGGTAAGCAAAATGGAGAAGGCCCAGAAAATCTTGAATACTTTGGTTCGTCTCCCCTTTCCTCCTGTTAATGTGCCTGGATTAGTCATCTGATCACCAAGGAGAACATGACTTCTAGCTTTCCAGCCCTTCCTTTTAGCCAAGGTGGAAGATATTCAGAGAGACAAAATCTCCCCATGGAGCCACTGTATTACCACATCCTCCCATCTCCCACTTCCTGCTTAGGGGTCCATGGTCCACACAGACTTTCCAGTCCCATTCTATGACCATCTGGAGATGCTGCTATTAGCAGAGCCCTGCAAAGGGTGATAGTGTATTCAAAGTGGTCTTCTCTTTCCAATACAAAAGAAATCAGTTCAGGGAGTGTTTTCCTAGGCTTACCATTTTAACAACTGGCTAGAGTTGAAATGGGGAAAGCCTTTTCAGTGTTAGTAAGGAAGGAGATCTGGATTATTTACTAATCACCATCATGGTCACCTCATACATGGCTTCACCAAAAAAAATTCTGCTGCCTGAAAAATCTCTAAGATCTCTCTCTTTTATAGGATAGAATTTGGAGCTCATCTTTCCTCAGTGATAAGGAGTTTTTATAGCCACAGGCAGCATCTATTGGTCCATCCTCTGCAAATTTGCAACTCCTTTGAGAGCTAGACTTGGAAATGAAACATTATTTTGCAATACGCTGCCATCCTTCATTTTTAGCTCTTCCACCACAGATGATTGTTTTTACTAGGTTAATAATAAGGATATAAATTTGGGTATTTTTGATATTTTACTGGATGGAATTTGGTATAATTTTTAGACTTCAGGCTTTGCAGGCTCCTGCTATGGACTAATGGAGCTTGTTCAACTTCTTCCCCATCATCATATGAAGTGCTGTGCTGCACTAGTCAGTGCGTGTGGTGACCACAGACTGGCTGAGTGTCTCCCATCCCATGCTGGCCCAAATCTGGTGCCCACCTGATCCATGAATGTTCCATCAAATCCTGTTCAAACAACACATCTCCAGTTAAGCCAAATCTTGCCCTTTCTTCTTACAGTAAAATGTACTAAATCTGAAGGTTTTGTCTTTTTAGTGTTGCTCTGTGATCCGTGATCTGTGGGCTTCATTAAGCCCTGTGGTAGAGCCCTAGCAAAACAAATGCTAAGGTAGAGGTCATTGTGCTCAAACAACCCAACCCCACCTGGATGTGACTTTACCATTGCAAAGGGTACCAATGTTCTAAGAGACAAGGGAAGGAGCTGAGCCCCTTGTCTTCCTCTAGGGTTCCCTTGTTCTTTCCCATCCCTCAGTCTGCTCCTTTCCCCAGTACCAACATGTTTGTTTCCTCAGAATTAAAGGACTAAAAACATGTAAACATCTGACTAGCAACAGCCATGAGACTTTGCCTGACTTGTTGATAAGCAGCATTGATATTTGCCCTCCTAAGAATGGGCCATTAGGTCTTCAAAGCTTTTATGTTGTGAAGTAAGGAACATTCACCAAGAGTTTCTTGCACAAAAGGGTTTTTCTTTGTGGGAACTAGAACATTGTTCCAGTGATGACGGAAACAGAGCTTTCCACACCAAAATAGGGTTTTCCTTTGAATGACTCTCCCACCTTTCCCTTGTCTCTTCCTCCTTACCTCAACAACACAGGAAAGAAGCTGGAAGCAGGGACAATGGGAAGGTCCCTTTGTTATTCGAGCTATTAGAAACAAAAAGAAAAGTGGCCTTCAGAGGAAGCCACAGCTGGTAAAATTGTAGGATCACAGAGTGAGTTACACTTCTGGCTAAAGTCAGTGAAAAGTCCTAGAAGTTTGTGGTCATAGAAGTTCTGGAAGTTTATGGGACTTCGTTTTGTGCAAGGATAAGAAATTGATTTCAGGCCTGGCACCATGGCTCACACCTGTAATCTCAGCACTTCGGCAGGCCAAGGTGGGCAGATCACTTCAGGTCAGGAGTTTGAGACCAGCCTGGACAAGACGGCGAAACCCTGCCTCTCATAAAAATACAAAAATCAGCCAGCGTGGTGGCACATGCCAGCGTGGTAGTCCCAGCTACTCAGGAGGCCGAGGCAGGAGAATCTCCTGAACCCAGGCGGTGGATATTGCAGTGAGCTGAGTTTGCACCACTGCACTTCAGCCTGGGCAACAGAGCAAGACTTTATCTAAAAAAGAAATAAAAATAAAAAATTGATTTCATTCTTCTGAGAACTACAACAACGACATTAAAGTGCTTCCATTCAAAAGCCACGTGTTCAGCCATAGACTTACTTTTATGGAGCTGCGTGTGAGTGACATACAAAATCAGGAGCTCTGAGTCCTAATTTAGACTTTTATTCAGATTTCCTCAGATTTGGGTTCTAGTTAAGCATGGGTCTGTTCTGTGCAGCCCCCTCCCTTGCCATTTATTTTATCTGTTTTTCAGTCTGTTCTATCAGTACCCACAGGCAGAAGAGCAGAAAGGAGAAATGGTAGCCACAGCAGACAAATGGCATGTTTGTTCCACCCAGTGGAACACATGCCCATGGCAGATATTACTCATTGGTCTCTCTTTTCTATGAAAGGAACCCAGAGCTCCAGGGAACTCTGGATCAATTGAACTCTGATCAATTGCCAATTGATCAGAACTCATGTAGGTCATTGGACCTATTGTTCCTTTATGTTCCTGGGAAGAGCACAGGATGATCTCTATGTACTCATTGACGTATTCAGAGAGTAAAGTGCCTCATAGGATGTCTCCAGCGAAGGATAACCAAGAAGGTCTAATACATTTGGTAATCTCAATTTATTCTATAGTGTACTTGGATAGCATCTCCCTTAGCAAAAGTTACTAGTTTGGTCCTATTTGCTACATAGCCGAAGTGGTTGTTGATTCACTGGTTAATGTGAAAGCTACTGAGGACTGCCTAGGAAATGTATTTGTGTAATATTTATGACTGGGGAGGATCAATCCACTTCCAAGTGATTTGGATTAATTACTGATATTTTCACCTGTGTGGTTAGCAAATTTCAGAATGCAAGTACAGATGATGGCCTCCACATGCCAGGCACCACGCAAGATGTTGAAGCTCCTCCGGAGTCCCCTCCCATCTCCCTCTTCTGTTTCCCATCTACCTGCATTATCCAGGGCTCTGTAGATCCTCCAAGACCCCCTACCCAGGTCTTCCTCCCTTGTGCAAGCCATATTTCTCCATAGTACCCTGCTTCTCACCAAGGATTTGCTTAATTAACACATAATAAATACTATTAAAAGAGAAACTTAGGCACATTAAAATGTTAAAGAGTTTATTCTAGCAAACAGTGATTCACAGGAGGCTCCAGATCACATGTGGTTAAGGGCACCACTGAGGGGTGGGGAAGCAAGACCAAAAAAAAAACAAAAAAACAAAAAACAAAGCAAGCATTTGATTGGTTCAAGTGGAAAGTCCCTGATTAGAGGTTAGTGGGCAGTTTGTGATTAGTTAAATTTCTCTAAGCTGGATTTTGGTTTGCTGATGTAGGAACCCAGAATGCTGGGGCTGTTTCAACTTAATGGTCTCCCAATTAGTATGTTTTAGCATTACTAATGACTGATAGAAGCCTAATGTGTTACTCCTCCCAGAGAAAATGGCATTCCTAGGAATAAAGGAACTCAGCTCATCGAGTATGCCTTGTAGAAATTTAGGCACTAACATAGAGAGCCCTCTGGGGCAGAGTGAGAAGATGCCGGCGGAGGGCGGGAATTACTGACGCTTGGCCTCTTGGTTTCAGCATGGAAGAATCCTACATTACAGTGACCCATTCATCCTCTTCCTGTTCTTGTTGGCTTTCTCCACTGCCACCATCATGCTGTGCTTCCTGCTCAGCACCTTCTTCTCGAAGGCCAGCCTGGCAGCAGCCTGTAGTGGCGTCATCTACTTCACCCTCTACCTGCCGCACATCCTGTGCTTCGCCTGGCAGGACCGCATGACCGCTGAGCTGAAGAAGGCTGTGGTGAGGCCTTTGGGCTGGCCCCTGTCCTATGACACGTTTCCTCTGAAGGATCTGAAGCAGTCCTAGAAGCCCAGCCTGCCCTCTGAGGAGGTCCACTTTGCCTTTGACATAAGATTGAAAAGTTCATGTAAGGCTAAAAGATACAGGGGCAAAAGTGGGAGCAGTCTTCACCCTAAGTGATGAAACAGTGACTCCTCACCACACCTGCTTGATTAGTTTGCCCTGGGACAGCATTAAAAAACCAGTTCAAGTCATGGGTCCCTTTGTTTACCCATAAGAGAGAACCAGCAGCCCATTTCACTTAGCTTTCTTTCCTACTCTTTGAGATGAATCAGAAGGGAGGGAGTTTGTCCCTTTACCGTCTGTCCAAAGAGATGTTTCCATTAATTAAAAGCTTTTGTTTTGCTTCAAAAGAACTTGAATTGGAGTATCTTCGCAAGTATCTTTAACATGCTCTACCAGGGCATGCAGAAAGAAGAGCAGAAATGAGACTGTCCACTGAGTCAGGCTTGCTGGCCAGGAGAGGATTCCAGAAAGTGACTTCTGATTGCCTGAGAAATTTCTTAGTTCACAATTCCCAGACCCAGACAAAGAGCACTGTCTTTTCTCTAATTGTTTTCAAATGGGCCATTTCCATCCTTTAATCAGCCTCTGGCCCTGAAGGGTGCAGTTCCCCTTGCCATCCGGAGTCGCCCTGTCTCTGTTCTGTAGAGTCAAGAAGGAACAACCACCTGCCCTCACTGGGGAAAGACAGAAAGTCTGACCTGTCCTCACGACTCACACTTACTAGGCTTCAGAGGTGTCAAGGCATCTGCCTTTCATTTCTGAGGTTAAATAAGACATCAGTTGCTGCCATTTATAGCACCCCGTTTTCTAAAATGATCACAATGGATTGTGGCAAGAAATCCTTATGATTCAGCCTCTGGGCACAGCTGGGTTATTTTGGTAATCCTTGGGTAGGCAGATGGAACTTTGAGGCCATCTTCTTGGATGTATAGATCCACTAGGAAGCTGTAGGTCTGGCAACTGTGGACTAGGGCTGGGCTGAGAATTGTTTCATGTTTTTTGTTAATGTATAGTTAGAGAATCTCTTGTTTGCAGAGAGACACTCTGAACTCTCCCTAGCCATCTATAGAAAGACTCCTTTGGCCCCTCCTGAGGTAGCCTTACACTGGGACACAGTGGGGACCCTCTTTTGGCCATCCCCTTTATCTTGAGGGCATCTGGGTGCTGTTGCATTGGATAAAAGGCACTGCTCATTTTCCGTGCCCTCTCTGCATCACTACAGAGCCTGCTGTCTCCAGTGGCATTTGGGTTTGGCACGGAGTACCTGGTTCGCTTTGAAGAGCAAGGCCTGGGGCTGCAGTGGAGCAACATTGGGAACAGTCCCACGGAAGGGGATGAATTCAGCTTCCTGCTGTCCATGCAGATGATGCTCCTTGATGCTGCTATCTATGGCTTACTTGCTTGGTACCTTGACCAGGTGTTTCCAGGTAAGCATCCCCTTCTATAGGGTAAAGGTAATGGAGTTCTTCAGATCCCCAGCCCTCTCCATTCATCTAGTTTAAATTTCATCGCTTCTAAAGCTCTTTGTCAAAACCAGCATTTGAAGTGTAAATGTAGAAGTCAAAAATCCACCAGCAAATCCTTCTGGCTCTACTTGGGAAATAAATCCAAAATCTGATCTCTTATTACCACCTCCACCACAGCCTTCCCAATCCCAGCCTCCTCCTTTCACTATCACCTCACACCAGTTCGTTCTCCACACTGTATACAGTGAGATCCTTTCAGAATCGAGTTCATATGGTATCAGCCGTCTCTGTCAAATGCCTCCACTGGCTTTTCCTCTCATTCAAAGTAAAACCCAGTGTCCCAACTCTGGCCTCCAAGATGCTCCATTATCTGGCCTCCAGCTCTCTTCCTAATCTCACGATTTTCCCTTCTCCCCCATGTTCCTCTGCTCTAGCCACGTTGGCATCCTTACTGTTTAACACACCAAGTGGTTTCCTCTTCAGGGCCTTCCCACCTGCTGTTCTCGTGCCAGGAACACATTTCTCCCCCCACCCCAACTCGCCCCTCATATCTGCAGACTTGCTTCCTTACTTTGTTTAGGTCTCTGTTCAAATGTCACATTCTCACAGGGATCTTTCCAGACTAAAGATATTTACATATCTATAGCTCTGTAAACAACATTCCTTCAGGGTTCCTGTCCCCTAGCCCTACTTTATTTTGGGGAACATTCTTCGCCATCTGATACGATGATGTATCTTATGCATGTATTTACTGACTCTCTGCCCTTAGTAGAATATGAGCTGTGAGAGCAGGCACATGGCCTGTTTTGTTAACTGTGACAGTCCCAGTGCCCAGAGTAGTGCCTGACCTTTGGTGGGCACTGAATAAATACCTAATTAATCGGTAGCATGGAAAATCATCTCCTAAAAATTGGCTGTTTGCACAGTCTTATATTTACTTTGTAGAAAATAAAATTTTCCTTTAAATTAGCATTTTCTGGTAACTAAAGATGCCTCATCTTTATCTGAGTGGTCTCCAAGTCAACTGATAGCCTTCTTGTGCTGTGGCAGCCATGCCTGGCTCTTGATGCTGTAGCTAAGAGCAGGCAGGGGACAGTGAGGCTGGTCCAGTCCATCGGGAGGGAAAAACTGACAGCTCTCAGATCATCTCAGGACAGACTTTGTTGGCAGAAATAGGTAGGCAGCCACCCTGAATAGGAGGGAGGCCTCTAGGCTGGTTCAGGAGGCCTGGGTTTGCATCCTGGTGGCATGGGTGCATTTGTTTACTAGGGCTGCCATAACAAAGTACCACTAACTGGGTGGCTTAGACAACAGCCATTTATATCTCACAGCTCTGAAGGCTGGAAGTCCAAAATCAAGATGTTGGCAGGGCCATGCTCCCTCTGAAACATGGAGTTGCTTGGGCACTCCTTGGCTGGTAGATGCGTCCCTCTGATCCTCCGTGTGCACGTGGTATTCTCCCTGTCTTACATGGCCATCTTATAAAGACATCAGCTGAGTTGGATTACAGGCCCACCATGCTCCCATGTGACTTCATCTCAACGAGTCACATTGGCAGTGACCCTATTCCTAAACTAAGCCACATTATGAGGTACCTGGGTTAGCACTCTGGTGTCTTTCTTCTTGACACCACTTCTGACACCAAATGTTTTGGTTTTTTGTTGTTGTTACTGTTTTTGACACCAACCAATTCTCCTATATTAATGGGTTGTCCACAAATTTAATTCTGACACTATCCAGAATTCACGCAGACTCCACAGGTTCAATCCTACAAGACTGGCCCCTCTTCCGATGCCAGCTGGAAATGTGGTGGCCAGGCTACCCACACATTTGCCAAAGTGCTATACTTACAATCACAGCTTTATAATGAAGGATATAGCTCAGGAACAGCCGCATGGAAGAGAAGCACAGGGCACAGTATGGGGTTGGGGCCAGAGCTTCTACGCTCTCTCTAGACACACCACCCTCCTAGCACCTCAAAGTGTTCAGCAATCCAGAGGCTCTTCAAATCTTGTTGCTCAGGAGTTTTTATAACCCCATCTCTAGCACCCTACTCCCCCACTGGAGGTTGAGGGTTGGGACTGAAAGTTCCATTCTTCACATGTGTGGTCTTTCTGGTGACCAGTCCCCAGAAACTGAAGCTATCTCGGGGCTCTACCCTGAGTCACATCATTAGCATAAACTCAGATATGGTAGAGGAAGGGGCTCATTATGAATAAAAAAAGACACTCCTTTCTGCCAGGAAATTGCAAGGGTTCTAGGAGGTCTGTGCCCTACACAGAAACTGGGGACAAAGACCAAGTATATTTTGTATTATGCCACAGACCTAACATATCTTTTTGGAAGGAGACCAAATTCAACCCACGACAATGACTTTGAACAAGACACTTGAACTTAGTCTATTTTTTCTATCCTACTAGACTACTAAACTGATGGAAAGAGATATAATAGATAAAAATTAGTTGATTAAAACAGAAATTTGTGCATAATTCAAAAGTTTTATTTTAGCCAAGCTAAAGTTTTCATTTATTTAATAGCTATTTACTGAGCAGCAGCTGTGTGTAAGGCTCAGCAGGGCCAGGTTCCGGGAATGGAGCGGTAGAGATAAAGATCCAGACCTGCCCAGAGGAATATACAGTTCAGTGGCAGCAAAGCCTGTGAAACACATGGCAACTTTTTTAAAAAGCTGAGGCCATGATTTTACAAAATCAACATTTTGTAGGCAACAGAACTTTCTAAGAGAACTGGACTAGAAATTTGGGAGTCTTTTTCTTGAAACCCTGATAGATCCAGTAGAATGAGGGGTGGGGATATAGGGTTAAAAACAGCGACATTAGAATTTGATTACATATGTTGGAATTCCTACATTTCTGTTTAACTATCTGTGACCAGGGACAGATGGCTCAAGCTCAGCGGGCCTTGGTTTCCTTTCTCACAAAAATAATAATACTACCTACCTCCTAGGGTTGTTTTGAGGTTTAAATTATTTAACACATGGAAAGTACTCACAGCAATGCCTGCCACAGAAAGAATACCCAGTTCATGTTAGTGATGATCACCATTATTGTTATGTGACTCCTGGTAAAAGACATGATTTAATTCTGTCGTGAAATGTTTTCTTGGAAAAGTAATGTCAACCAAGATTATTGGTCTTACTGTTGCTTATAACACCCCCAAAACATGACTGTGTGGATAAAAATATGTTGGAAAGAGTAGTCTTTCTGAAAGCCTGCGAAAATCCATGTAATGATAACTATAAATATCTATGGTTACAATTTGAGGTTCAGGTAGATAAATGCTGGATCTTATAGGACTGCAGACTACTTAGACCTTGTCTGTTTATTTGTCTCTATCTTTAGGAGACTATGGTACCCCACTTCCTTGGTACTTTCTTCTGCAAGAGTCATATTGGCTTGGCGGCGAAGGTGAGTTCTTTAAAAATTAAAACACAAATTGGCCGGGCACGGTGGCTCAAGCCTGTAATCCCAGCACTTTGGGAGGCCGAGGCGGGTGGATCACGAGGTCAAGAGATCGAGACCATCCTGGTCAACATGGTGAAACCCCGTCTCTACTAAAAATACAAAAAACATTAGCTGGGCATGGTGGCACGTGCCTGTAATCCCAGCTACTCAGGAGGTTGAGGCAGGAGAATTGCCTGAACCCAGGAGGCGGAGGTTGCGGTGAGCCGAGATCGCACCATTGCACTCCAGCCTGGGTAACAAGAGCGAAACTCCGTCTCCAAAAAAAAAAAAAAAAAAAAAAAAAAATTAAAACACAAATCTTAATGTTTGAAATCAGCTCCTTGGTCTCTGTGCAGGATGTGTATGGGTCACAGAGGCAGCCCTCTATGTAAAGGGTGTGATTCCTGATGAGTCAGCTTCCTCCTGGGGGCTCTGCCCCTCGATGGGCATTGCATCATCTGGGAGCCCACCTTTCACGAGTCGCTGGGCCTGCACGAATGGCTGATCATGGATGAAGCCCTGTGTTCTGTACACCTTGTGCAGTGAACTAAATTGCCCTATTTAAAAAAGGCCAAACCACTTCAGGGTTCAAAGAACTTGTGCAACTTTTCAGTATAAAAAAGAAATCCAGGGAATCATGAAGGAACCTTTGCTTTCATCTCCCACTGCCTTCCTCCTGTCTTTTTATTCCTCTCCATCTTTTCAAAATATAAATTAGTTTATTCTCCCAAGATGAAGACTCCTCCTGGGGCTGGGGCAGAGCTGTTAATCTTCAAGGCAATACCTCAGACTCTCCTGCTGTTGATCTTTTTTGAGGTTGGGGAAGAAGGCTGAAAGGACATTTGCTCACAACATATCTTAGGTAAAAGGCATCTTTACCACTGAACCAAACAGGAGGCCTAGCTAAAGAAAGTTCTAGAAGTGAGGAGAAGCACAGACTTTTTTTTTTTTTTTTTTTTTTGAGAGAGGGATTTACTCATGTTACCCAGGCTGGAGTGGAATGGCGCGATCTCGGGTCTGAGGCAGCACCGCCTCCTGGGTTCAGGCAATTCTCCTGCCTCAGTCTCCTGAGTAGCTGGGATTACAGGCACGCGCCACCATGCCCAGCTAACGTTTTTGTATTTTTAGTAGAGACGGGGTTTCACCATGTTGACCAGGATGGTCTCGATCTCTTGACCTCGTGATCCACCCGCCTCGGCCTCCCAAAGTGCTGGGATTACAGGCTTGAGCCACCGCGCCCGGCCCTGAAGCACAGACTTTTTTGTGAGGTCTGAGAAAGCAAAGAAATTCCAGAGTGTGAGCAGGGGACTCCGCTAGAGCTGGGAGGCTCTGCAAGCAAAGGAAGTATTCTCCCATCTGTTTGTTGCTCACCTACCTGTTCGTTACTTTGTACAATTGGGCCTGGGCCAGGACTTACCCTGTAAGCACTGAGATAGATGTTTGTTTTCTCTAGGGGATTAGTCTAGGGCCTTTAAAAGGCTTGGCTAGATTTTTTTTTTCTTTTGTTTTTTGCTTTTGTTTTCACTGGGTCAAACAAACAGCACTTTTAACAGCTCAGGATTTTTTTCATTGCATTGACATATCCATCTTGTCTATCTGTAAACTTGTTAATTTTTTACTGTAATAAAATTTTCATATAATAAGTGAAAATTGTCAGTGCAGGGGTATATTCCTAGAATGTTTTTAATGTCAATGAGTAATACCAGGGCTTGTGGGCATTTTTTTTCTCTGCAATTCCAACAGATACTCTGCCTCTTAAGAAAAACGGAAATCATAAGAAAAATATGCTCCTTCAAAAGTGAATCACAAATATATTTGCCAATGGAAGGCAAATATTTTTCACCTGTCTCATATGCTGGACTGAAATGGATTTCTAAAACTCTCTAAAACTGGGAAAGAGCTGAGTGTCTCCACCCAACCTCCCTCCTTTCACAGATTAAAAAACAAAAAGTGGAGGCCAGGAGACATCCAGTATCTTCCCCTGTTGGTCACTTGGGACAAAATCTGGAACTTGCACATATATTGCCTGGCAAGAAACTCATTCTAGCGATTAAGCTCTTTAGAAGGATATTTCCGAAGAACAGCACTAAAGACGGCAGGTCCCTGACCACCAGGCCACTACCTGCTGCTCCAGCACACATCCTGCACATTTTCAGAGGGCAGGGGACAGAGGGGCATTGGGCCGTGGGTAGCTGTTGCATTGAGAAAACTCGGCCTGCTCCTGTATGTGCACTCAAGGCCAAGAGTCCTTGGATGCTTGGCAACGGTGGTTTCCTCCTTTCCCTGCCTTCCTCTCCAGCAGACTGACTGGCCCTTCTGCTTCTCTTCCCCTTCCAGGATGTCCGGATATCTTTTTAAACTAAATGCCAAGTTTGCCAAAAAGTGTCTCTGTGTATGTGTGTATGTGTGTGCAATGCATGTGTTTATACCACACTTCACAGTTTGTCCAGGCTTGTGTTAATACCATCACTAGGCTCAACCGTGGTGAGCTTGGTATCTTAATCCCAAGATACTTAAATGCCCACCTAGGTGTATTTCTCAGGTGAACCATTTCTCAAGCTGTAGTTTAAGCTGGCTGCCCGTCATAGCACTTTAAATAGACTTTTACTCAAGGTTCGCCATGACTTTGACATGTTTTGGATTGGAGTAAAATGTGTCAGTGGTGGGCTAAAGAAAATTATTTCAAATTCAATTCTTTTTTTAATCACAATTTCTGACACTGTGGCCTCCTCCTGGCACATGGAGAGGAGGTGAAACTCTCCAAGTCAGAAGCTTCTGTTACAAAACTCCCTCTGGGATTGGCAGAGATTGTAAGATAAGGCTTGAGTCCCTCACAGCCCTGAAGCAGGTCAGAGCCTGGCTGGGAAACTTATTTGCTCCCTGTACTTCTCCCCTCCTTTCCTGCTTTTGCTGGTTCTCAGCTCTCGGTGGGAGAGTAACATTGGCTTCTGGTTGGTGCAGGGTGTTCAACCAGAGAAGAAAGAGCCTTGGAAAAGACTGAGCCCCTAACAGAGGAAATGGAGGATCCAGAGCACCCGGGAGGAATACACGGTAAAATCCCAATGAAGAATGCACAGCAGAGGCGAGGAATAGGCTCGAAGCACTGCAGAGGGCCAGAGCAAAACACCTCATGACAAGGGTGGGAAGAAGCCCATGAAACTGACTCTGTTGACAAGAGTTAAACCTGATCCCTTCTCAGAGGTCCATCTGCATGTGTGTGGAATGAATGGTTCAGCCCAGACATTAGCACATATTTCCTGGAGAAAGCAAATGCCAAGCATGTAGTGTGCCTGTGCCCTTGTTAGGCAAATCCCAAGTGAGTTGCACAAATGTGCTGACTTCCGAGGATTTAGCAAGAACAATAACTTTGGTCACTGGGACTTAAAGCGGATATGAGCTATAAGGAAAGACAAAAATAAATGCTTCTGTGTCCAGGGGGAAAGAGACTCCAGGGGAGCTGACTACACTTCACTTATGGCTTACAAATCTAGAAGGCCATTCATTGAAGGCATCAGGAGCCTTTCCTGACAGTGGAAGTTCCCTAGTAACCCCTAAACTGATGACCCAGGTTGACAAGTTTTGTTTTCCTGGCTTTTGTTGCCCTCATCCTCTCTTTTGACCCAGTTCTGTATTACTCCCAAGGCTTTTCATTCCCTAAGCATATGCATTTCTCTGTGGCCAAAATGCCCTGGGTTTAGAGAGGCAGCACAGCCCCGGACTCTGCCTGCCACTGCAGGAGAGGGTCTGGCCTTTATTCTTCCAGCCCACCCCAGAGGCCATTTCACAAAACAAAAACCAGAGACCTGCAGCCCCTCCCAGAGTTAGACTGCAACACACTGCACCTCTGGGAAGATCCTTCTCCCAGAGTGGAATGTCTAGGCTGAAATTAGGAGCTAGGGACTGGTTCCAACTTAGTTGCAGGCAAGGCCAGGAGGCACAGATAGAAGAAACAGTGGAATTTTCCCCCCTAGGGAAACAAATGCTTAACACCACAGTATTAAGATGATAAATTAAGCTGTGCCATATATGGTGAAATGATGCAGGAGAGATGGGAAGTCAGGGATAACTGAGATCACATGGTGAGGGTCTGCACTGGAGGGGGCATGGGAGGAGGAAGGAGAGGAGTGGGATTTGGGGGATGGTGATGGGGAAGCGTGGACTACCCTCCCAGCTAATTGGAAAACTCTGGGAGTTCTGAGAAGCAAGAAATTTTAGTCAAAGTCAACTCAAAGATTCAAGCCAAGGTGACTAGGAGAATGGCAGTCCAGAAAAGGTCATGGGAGGATCCAAAGGCAGATGTTGTTTTGGGAAGATGAAGAACCTAAGCCACTTCCAGAAATTCCCTGTGGACTGTTAGCAATGGGCCTAGGACCAAGGTTGAGCTTGGGACCAACTCTCCCTATAGACAGTGAGTGCACTCTGGTGAGCATGGGCTCTAGGTTCAAATCCCAATTCTGCCACTCATGCCTATGTGTCCTTAATAGAACACTTGATGTCTCTGTGTCTAAGGTTCCCTCAGCTATGGAAATGAGCATAATAAATGTCTACACCTTAGGACCATTATCAGAGTGCATTGAGGTAATTTGTGTAAAGCAGTCGAAACAGTGCCTGGCATGTAGGAGGTGCTATATAAATGTTTGATGCTATTATTACTATTTTTATTCTGGAATCTTCCTTACAACTGTGATAGCTGAAGCCACGGAGGCAGATGGTGTTACAGGCAGAAGAAAATGACCTGGAGAAAGAGCCCTGGGACTGTGTACATGAGGCATTATGTTTACATCATGTTCATTTTTTTCCTCCAAGACTCCTTCTTTGAACGTGAGCATCCAGGGTGGGTTCCTGGGGTATGCGTGAAGAATCTGGTGAAGACTTTTGAACCCTATGGCCGGCCTGCTGTGGACCGTCTGAATATCACCTTCTACGAGAACCAGATCACCGCGTTCCTCGGCCACAATGGAGCAGGGAAAACCACCACTTTGTGAGTCTTCCAACAGAGAGGCTGGCTGCCATGCTAGCCTGTCATTTTCTGGCTTAGTCTTTCCCTGTCAGCGGCTGTCTACTCTTTCCCACAAATTTTAGTGACAAATATTTGTGGCCCCAAAAATGTGTAAAAGCTTTCTGCAGTATTCAAAGCTCACTCATATGTATTCTCTTGAGAGGAAGGTAGAATAAGTTTATTGCCTCTTTTGTGTGCCGGGGAAGTGGACATTCATTCAGAGAGTTGAAATGACTTTCCTGAGGCCACCAAGTTGTCATGGCTCAGTGGGGACAAAAGCCAGGCACACAGTTGCCTCTTGTTTCTCACACCTTGAGTCTTTTCCCCCGTTCCAGCAGTCCCTGGTGGTGACCAACTCATGACCATTGCCATCACATGCATGGGAGCTGTAGAGTCCTGCTATTTGTTTTTTGTTTGTTTGTTTCTTTTTTTTTTTTTTTGAGACAGTATCTCATTCTGCTACCCAGGCTGGAGTGCAGTGGCACAATCTCGGCTCACTGCAACCTCCTCCTCCCAGGTTCAAGCAATTCTCCCACCTCAGCCTCCCGAGTAGCTGGGACCACAGGCGCATACCACCACGCCCAGCTAAGTTTTGTATTTTTTAATAAAGACAGTGTTCCACCATTTTGGCCAGGCTGGTCTCGAACTCCTGACCTCAGGTGGTCCACCCACCTCAGCCTCCCAAAGTGCTGGGATTACAGGTGTGAGCCACCGTACCAGCCCGAGTCCTGCTATTTTCAAGGAGCATTCCTTTTTCTGCCAATAGTTAGGCAGGCTTCCATATCAGCTGATGAGGGTTAGTGGTAGTTCTGGAGAAAGTAAAAAAAAAAAAAAATCAGTCTCTAGAGGGGCCCGTGGAGTAACTGTCTGGCAACAGAAGGTCAGGGCAGGGAAGGCAAAGGGCTCTGCGTGGACCTCTCAGCTCCACAGGCACACCACTCTCCTCCAAGGGACTCGAGCGCCATCTGCTGAGAGGAGAACACAGCCTGCCCTGGTTTCCCAAGGAGCAGCAGACACAGACCTCGAAGGGGGCAGCAAACCCACGTGACACAGTCTTCAAGTCCTTTGGAGAGCCCCAGGAAGGAACAGCAGCGTGTACACCCTGTGATGGAATGTTCTCTAGGGCGGTTCAGTGTGAATGGAATGTGGGGCCAGTGCCATTCTATTTGGTTCTGTTTCCCTCTAGTGGTTGATCCATGGAGATTTCAGCTTCTCCGTCAGGACAAGTTCAGATAGCCTGAGACGGTATCAGAACTCAGGGACAGAGCTGGGTGTGGTGGCCCTGCATCCATCTGATTTCTCCTCCTGCTAACTGATATGGTCAGAGAGCTGGAAACAGCGTCCAGGACCCCAGGGCTCCAAAAAGGCAAATAATTACTTCATCGGCTGCTCACATGCAACTTCCCCGGGGGTTAAAACAATGTTTAATACTAATAGTAATAATATTTTTGAGTTTTACTTTATGCTGGCTCTGTTCTAATGTTCTAAGTGTATTAACTCATTTAACCTTTACAACAGCCCAAGGACATGGGAGTCACAGTTACCATTTTGCCAGAAAAAAAAAAAAAAAAAAAAAGCCCACCATTGCTCTTGGGCTTTTTATGTTTTGGATTCAAAGCTGGTATTGGTGGTGGTAATTATCATGCCTGGTTTCAATCAGTTAATCAACAAAAGCTTAGGAGTGCTTGGGATTCTTTCTCGCCTTTCATCAAGACCTTACCCAGGCTTTGTGATGGTAACACCTGGCTTTTCAATATCCATGACTGCTCACCCAGGAGGCAAAGCCTTGAGCCATGTACCAAATGCCTTTTATTGATCCTTTTCAACACTGGGCTCCTTGATGGCTGAGCTGGGGACACCTGTGACTGCATGTGAAGTTCTGAGGCTGGGAATCCCAGAGGCCCTCGGCTTTGGCCTGGGAGCACCAAGAAATAAGTAGAAGCAGAGAAGGATGGTAGAGGTTGCCCTCTGCATTAGGGCCTGGATGTTCACGCTGGTGCTGAGCCCTGTGTGGGAATCTGTTGGGCCCCACAGCTAATAGTGGTTTGGGTTTGACTGACAGCCCCAGGCAGGAATCCCAATGAGAGTTCTCACTGACCCTAGAGTGGGGGCAGCCCTCCTAAGGCAAGTTCCTAAAGGCCATCTCTTCTGCCACTGACTCCTGTGTTCCGCAGGTCCATCCTGACGGGTCTGTTGCCACCAACATCTGGGACTGTGCTCATTGGGGGAAGGGACATTGAAACCAGCCTGAATGCAATCCGGCAGAGCCTTGGCATGTGTCCACAGCACAACATCCTGTTCCACCAGTAAGTGAGACAGGAACTGAGACCTCCCCATCCCCACTCCTCACCTCTGCCCCCTGCACACTTTTCTAGAGCCCAGCTCAGGGATGTCCTGCCTGGGCACAGGTGGAAATACTCTTATTTGTTTTCCCCCATGTTTAAGGTCCTTTGTCCTACTTGCAATGAGCGTTGTCCCTCAGATCATGGGACTCTGCCTTTGCTGCTCAGAGCTGAGGGCTCCCCACTCAGAAGGGTGAGACTGCCTTTGCTCTGACATAGCAGCTGATCCCCGATTGCCTTGTGCAGCCCTGAAGTACTTCCTCTCAGGGACCAAAGACAGGAGAACCATTGTTCCTTTTTCCTGTTTAAGCCATGGCATGAAAGGTGAACTTTTCAGGGGGCTTTTTAGTTACTTTTTTTTTTTCCAATAAGATATTTTTATTTCTTATCTAAGAAGCTATGCATAGTCATTGTCAAAGAAAAAGAGGAAGGTAAGGAGGGAGGGAGGGAGGGAGGGAAGGAAGGAAGGAAGGAAATATAGGTAAATAAAACATTGAAAATAAAAGTCACCTGTAATTTCACTACTCAGAGATAACCACTGGGTTAACACATTGGTATATAATTTTTTAGAACTTTCTCCTATACATGTGTAGATAAACACATATACTTTAAAATCATAAAGAATAATAAAACTATGCATACACATTTTAAATCTGGCATTTTTTTTTCAAAAAAGGATTGCTTTTTTATACATGAGAGATAATGAACATCTTTCATGTCATTACATATTCATTACATATTCTTCTATAAAATAATATTTAGTATTTACAGACTATTCCATCTTATGAATGAACTATGTAAGCCATCCTCTTATTAGATATTTAAACAGGGTCTGTTATTTTTGTTTTGTATCATAAACACCACCGCAGTGAGCATCTTGATTGCTAAATCAAGAGTACTTGTCCTCAGTTGTTTCTGTAAGATCAGCTGCTAGAAGTGGAAGAGCTGAGCCATTGCTTTTCTTATTGTCCCATCTCCTAGCCTCACGGTGGCTGAGCACATGCTATTCTATGCCCAGTTGAAAGGCAAGTCCTGGGAGGAGGCCCAGCTGGAGATGGAGGCCATGTTGGAGGACACAGGCCTCCACCACAAGCGGAATGAAGAGGCTCAGGACCTATCAGGTGCTTGGTGATGGATGGAGACAGGGCCACAGATGGCAAATCCATGACTTCCCAGTGCACCCAGGAGGCGGGGGAGGCTTGGAGCAGGAGAGCTCCTAAGGGTCGGAACACCTCTGTAAAGTTAGCCCAAGAACCAAAGAGCAGCCCCCAGATCATTTCCCCCGCAGAACCCTGTCTCACAGCAGTCTGGGTTTTATTTATCCTGAGGTTGACATGTTTGAACAGTCTTCCAAGGGTCTGATCTGAGGAGGCGAGGGTTACCCTTTCTGTGTTTACAAAGCCTGAACAGTATTAGGGCTTTGAACACTATAAACATCTAAGGAGGCAGCATCAAACGGCTGCTGGATTAAGGTATCCCCAAGATGCCTTTGGCCCTGAGCCTTTCTCTTCTCCACCCTCCGCAGCCCCTTGACACTCCCGTCCTCCTTGTGCCCCCAGGTGGCATGCAGAGAAAGCTGTCAGTCGCCATTGCCTTTGTGGGAGATGCCAAGGTGGTGGTTCTGGATGAGCCCACTTCTGGGGTGGACCCTTATTCAAGACGCTCGATCTGGGACCTGCTCCTGAAGTATCGCTCAGGTAACGGCCACTGCTCAGTGTCCTGGGCTCCCACTGTGGCCTTACTTGTGGTCCCCACTCTCTCACTTGGCATTGCAAAACTGAGTACAGGTACCACCATGACTACACTCAAAAGGGGCTTTATCACTGACTTGGTGAATCTAAATTCCAGCTAAAGCCTCCTGAGATTTTTGCAAATATAGACAGGGAATCATTAATGAGGCAGCCTACTTCCCAAAATATTTTAGAAAATTCTCTTGACCTGCAGCCCTTCTGTCTGGAATAATGGATGCCATGCTAGGTGAAAGTCCCCTCTGACCATGGGGACTCAGGTTACCTGCAAACATACCTAGAAGCTCCATAGCTGTAGGATGACCACTCAGGATCAGTGTGAGGGTGACATGCTGGGCATTCAGTGCTCCAGAGGATGGCCGCAGATGGAAGTGGCTCCTCTGCCATGGCACCCCTAAGACAAGGGGCTCAAATAGGAAAAGACATTAGACAGAGCTGAGAGCCCATAGAGGTGACAGCGAGGTTCAACCCTGTGGTCGAGCCAGAGCTTACCCCCTCTCGACTCACACAGCATTGTCCCATGCCTTTCTCTGAGGGTTTACCATCCTGGAATCCTCATTGCTGTTTTCTTTTAATGACATCTCCAGTTAGTGAGAGTATGTATGTGTGTGTTCTTTATGAAAATTATAAATGCAGAACTTAATGATCCAGAAAATACATATGAAATTCACTAGATACATGATACATGAGCCCCAAATATAGGATTTATTTGAATCAGATCCTATGCCAGATACAGAGACACTGTGTGTGGCAATGCTTTACAGTATGTAGGATGCTATGAAATGTTAGTTGTTATTATTGTCCTAATATCCTGGAATTTGCTGCTGAATTAGTCCCTTGGATTTTTTTTTTCATTAACTCCTGATTTTTGCAACTATATAGCCAGGAGATTGCTGTGTACCCTTTACCAACCATGCCCAACCCAGGGCAAACCTGGTGATTACCTTGCCCTGGCCCCTACCTTGCAGGCAGAACCATCATCATGTCCACTCACCACATGGATGAGGCTGACCTCCTTGGAGACCGCATCGCCATCATTGCCCAGGGAAGGCTGTACTGCTCAGGGACCCCGCTCTTCCTGAAGAACTGCTTCGGCACGGGCTTGTACTTAACCTTGGTGCGCAAAATGAAAAACATCCAGAGCCAAAGGAGAGGCAGTGAGGTAGGTGTCTGCCCAGGGAAAGACCCTGGCCTGGGTGAGAAGGAGCACACAGCACGGGGCTGCCACTCCGAACATGGCTACTCACACAGGCTCTCGCCATCAGAATCAGTATCTTTGTTCTGGGACCATTTGCAGGATATTTCGATGAACACATTCTGAAGCCTCCTCCTACAGAGATGCTTTAGCCAAAATGAAACAACTAGCTTTAAATGTCTGTGATTATTACATGCCAGATTACACAGCAGGACCCCAAACTTCAGATGCGGTTTGGTGCAACATAGAAGTGAATGTCTGTAAAGTTAGGCTGTTTTAAGAGCAATTAGTTAGGCTTCCTTCTTTTTTTTTTTTTTCATTTCAACATTTGTGTTCCCTAATTAAACCTGAATTTCAGTGGTAGGTGAAAGCTAAGAAGAGGCCTCCTTGAGCTCTATAACATAAAAATGATGAAGCCAAAAAATCCCAACCAGCAGAGACCACTTCGGCATGTCAGGAGACCCAGTTTTATGCCTGTGCTGTGAAGTAGACAAACTGTGTATCATCTTAGGCGAATTATTTAATTCCTCCTCTTTTTTGTTTCTTGTTCGTATGGAAAATGAAGCTAATGATCTCTGCTTCTCCTTCTTAGGGATGTGAAGATAAATGAGATAAAATATTATAAATGTGTTCTGGGCTTCTTAAGAACAGACATTGCTCACATTCAAATGGTCACGATTATGATATGGCAGCATTATTTATGCCTCTGGTTTAAGTGTCTGGCTGCTGCTGGGGCTTCCTGTATCCATCCACAGGGAAGGAGGCACAGAATGTCTCTCACAGGCAGAACCTACAGCTGCCACATAATTGGTGACAAGCCAAAGGGACTCTTGGTGGTTCTGCTTCTCTCTGTGCATGACTCACACACTCTCTAGGATAAAATCAAGCGTCTACACCCTAGAAATGCTCAGATGAATTAACAGATTAAACAGTGAAGAAAAAATGTGTTGACTACACTTGGCAGTGAGAAATATATAAAGCAGGTGGTGACAGCAGCTGGCATGAGGGAGAGGCTCTGGTTGAAGGGATGTGCATCTTGTCAGTCATCCTGTCTGTCTGTTGCAGGGGACCTGCAGCTGTGCATCTAAGGGTTTCTCCACCACCACGTGTTCAGCTCACGTCAGTGACCTAACTCCAGAACAAGTCCTGGATGGTAAGGACTGGACAGGCCATACCTGGGTTCCTGTCTGGCAACCATCTCCCAGTATTGCTGGGTGTGTCCTGTTGTGATGCATTTTAATGGGAGCAAAGAGAATACTGGGTACTTCTCAAGGTCACACAGTTGTTCTTTTGCTTTGAGCTTCTTTCTCCTCTTCCTCCTTCCTTCATTCCCAAAAGGATTTTAAAAGTCATGCACTCTCTCCCTTTAATGAGGAATATACTCTGTGCTCTTACCATTTGTAAGCCTTCATTCCTGGGGTCCCCCTGCCCTGGCTCCAAGCCACATTCCTTATGGTCTGGGGAGAGCTTCTTCTACATGTGTGCCATTGCACCCTCTAGTGGAAGTATGGTGACTCACGGCTCTTCCAGTGAACTCGTGGAGTCATATTGCATGTGTGGATGGCAAGTCTGGAAATATACACCCCTGTTACACTCCTGATTTTCCCTTCAGCTTACCAATTTCCCAGTGATTCTTCCTTTAATTAAGATGCATTGAAGCTTTCAGGAGTGCCCTCATCTCCAGGGAGCTGCAGTAGATAGGCTATCTCTATAGAAGCATATTCCCACATGGGAATGAAATTAAATTTAGGTACTGATGCAGGTTAATGAATGGGGAAAGTATCTGCTTTTCAAAGAAAAAGTACATTTTTCTATTTAGCACAAATTTTTTCTAAATGTTAAGAATTTACTAATGGAATCTGGTGAAGCAAGAGAACTGGACAATATTTGTGTTTCGGATCATGGCAACTGGAGGGAGCATACCCGGAGAGGCATCATCACTGCTCATGCACCTGCCGTCTCTTCATGCTGAGAGACCCTGTGATGACCAGAAAATGTCTTTTTAAGATGACATTTCTGGGTCTTTCTCCTAACCTGCCTTGCTGTGGATATCTATCTTCCCCACTCTCTGAATCTTGGTCAAGAAGTTTATATTTGTTTTAAATCAATACTAAAATGTTATGTGATTTGCCAAAATCAAGTTGGAAACAGGGCCTGTGTGGCTGAATGATTCTTTTTTAAAAAATTACTTTATTTCTAAATAAAGGTTTTCTTTGTATAGAATTGGGATGCTGTGAATGGTGGGAAATGCAGTAAATAGTTATGCCCCAAATAAGGGAGGGAAGATCATTTTAATCCCCAGTTAGCTCCTTGCTTGAAAGTCTTTTCACTCAAACACACCCACATACCACACACACACTCACAGACCTCCCTCCCAGATGCCAAAAGCCCTGCTGACCTACAGAGCTACTTCTGGAAAGGCTGATACATGCCTAAGACACAATTCCTGGGAATCCAGCAGCTTTGGGTTCCATTTCCTTCCGAAGAGAACAATGAATATGACCCCTGGAGAGCTATTAGGGCAGAGCTACTTCCTTAACGTAAAGGACTCTCCAGCCTCTGTATGAAGTCATCCCAGAGCTAAAGACAATCAAGTCCGATTTGCAGATTTGACATAAAGCAAGACTTCCAATCCAGTGAGGCTGAAGAACTTTGGTTGAAGGCCATGAAATCCCTTCATATGGATCATTTTTTAAACAAAAAAAGAAAAGAAAAGAACATACTGGATTTCCCCAACTCTCTCTGAGAGCTGCTTTCTGGAGTTGTGTCTTGAGTCCTGGAATCCCTCTCCCTTTGACCTGTTCTGAAGACAATGTGCTAGAGAACTCTCTCTTCAAGTGCATGCAAGTGAAGTTTTTACAGTTAGATTTTTAATTTTAGAGTAATACACACTTGTACATAAAATTCAATTCTGGTTGTATAAGTGTGTCAGGAAAACAGTTGGTATCCGACACTTGTTCACACTCCATGATACGCACCCATATCCTACCCCCTCCCCCAGCCTCCCTCCACGGCTTCTCAACCCCCTTCTGCATTTCCTGTGAGCTGAGGATTCAGTTTTTTTTTTTTTTTTTTTTTTTTGTGGAGGTAGGTGCAATCCCAGGAGAAACTGTGCAATCTTCTGACAAGTTAGAGCAGACATGGGTGTGTGATTTAGGGAAGGCACTTCTCAGTTTGGTCACTGGTTCCAGGGGTATATATCTTGGGCAAGTCCCCCATAGCTGGGGCCAGACCAGAAAAATGAAAACAACTTTGACTTAGCCTCAAGTTTTCAGTGAATCAGAATGAAAAATAACAATGACTAAGAGCTTTCTTACCGAGATGATGTAAGTGATAACAATAGCAGCCAGCACTCACCTATGTGCCAGGTATTTCTCTAAATGCTTTGTGTAGTTAAACTCATCCAGTCCTGAAAAACAACAATGAAGTGGGCACCATTACTTTTCCCTTTTCACAGATGAGGAAGCATAGGGGTGATCCACCCAATGTAGCATAGCTTGAGGGGACAGAACATTTGGTTGAGCAGAGGAGGAAGTGGCACGGAAAGCTGCATCATGCCCCCAGGTTGCACAGCTAGCTAGTGGGGAGGACTTTGCTTGTTTCCCTCTGCCTCTCAGTGGTTATCTCAGGGTCAACTAAGCTGAAAACAGACTTGACAGAGCATCAGTCCTCTGAAAGAGTCACTGCCAAGAAACAAAATGCCTCTTCTTCAAAAGGGAAGTGGAGAAAAGTAGGAAACCTGGGTAACCTCACCATCTTCCAGGTTCTAGAAAACAGAGCTGGCTTCAGTCTTTTTTCTTGTCCTAGGGGATGTAAATGAGCTGATGGATGTAGTCCTCCATCATGTTCCAGAGGCAAAGCTGGTGGAGTGCATCGGTCAAGAACTTATCTTTCTTCTTCCAAGTAAGAATTTCAAGCAGAGAGCATATGCCAGCCTTTTCAGAGAGCTGGAGGAGACACTGGCTGACCTTGGGCTTAGCAGTTTTGGAGTTTCTGATACTCCCCTGGAAGAGGTAAAGTAGAGATTCCAGCTGGTTTCTGTCAAGTGCCAGAAGTGGCAGTTCTTTGAAAAAGTCTGACATTAGAGCGAAGTTTTGTAAAAGCAAAAAGCCATTATTCCCCACCCAAGCTTAGCAACTATATTCATTTTTGGCACATTTCCCCCGTCTTTGTGTGCATACATATTTTACGGAGTTGTGGTTACTGTGTGCTTATGTTTTTGTATTTATGGAAGATGATGTTCTTAGATAAAGGGTCATAATGCATTTTCTTCCCTTTATGAAGCAATACTCAACAAAATGGAGCTTGGGTTAGATTTTTCTGAGAATAGGAATGACTACACAAAATTCTCTTTTTTCTTCTTGACAGATTTTTCTGAAGGTCACGGAGGATTCTGGTTCAGGACCTCTGTTTGCAGGTATGGTGCTGGAGCCTGTGGCTTGTTCCCTTCCTTTTCACCGCCCCTCCCCCACAAGCTCTGTCTTGAAAGTCCAAGGGACCAGGTACAGTAGCTCATGCCTGTAATCCCAGTACTTTGGGAGGTCGAGGCAGGTGGATCACCTGAGGTCAGGAGTTTGAGACCAGCCTGGCCAATATGATGAACCCCTGTCCCTACTAAAAATATAAAAATAAGCTGGGCATGGTGGCCTGTGCCTATAATCCCAGCTACTCAGGAGGCTGAGACAGGAGAATCGCTTGAACTTGGGAGGCAGAGGTTGCAGTGAGCCAAGATCACACCATTGCACTCTAGCCTGGGCGACAAGAGTGAAACTCCATCAAAAAAAAGAAAAAGTCTAAGGAAAAAGTCATGAAACAACAAAGCAGGCAAATACTCCTCCATAGTATCTGAGTCCCCAATGATAGGCAATTAGCATCCTTGGTGCCTTTGAATGACAAAGGAATAACAGACTGAGTTAGGTTTGGGTGGGAACACTTTGGATGAATGAGGATTCTTATGGAGGTCAGGTTGGTAGCTTCATCCCTCAGCTTCTCATCCTGTGTCCCCAGTATCTACTTCCTGCCATGTCATCATCCTCATCTCCTCCTGTCATCTCCACCAGGCCTCTGATCCATCCCTATCTGCTGGCAGATAAGTGACAGCTGGCAGAGTCCTTAGCGATTATCAAACACAACTCAAATGCCAGCTGGAGTCTCCCGGCCCCTTTGAGAGCAACATAAACTCATTTTGAACCCTTATTTAGTAGTCTATGGACTTTGAAAATGTGGGGACCAAAATTCCTGTGGATTCTAGGAGTCTCTCTTCTACGTGTGTCAGGCTGGGCATCAACTAGCTCCTTCCATGAATTTTTACCAAACCCACAGCCACACAAAGCATCTGTGAGTGTAGCAGAGTTTACAGCAGAGGGTGAAGGGTGGGGAGATAAATGTGCAAAAGGGTTACCTGCCACACAAACAGAAACCACTTCTGATAGAACACGAGGCATCCACCACACTATAAAATCCTCCCCTGGTGCCGGCAACACTTTGCAGAATTCTCCTTTGCTGCCTTGGGCTCCTAACACCTCCTAAACCACAAGTTACCTTCATCTTCCCAGTGTGGCATATTACAGTGTTTTCCTGTCGGAGTGTTTCCTCTCTATGGGGATTCTGGAATCTGCACTTAAGGTAACTTGGTTTTCATCTTTCTTCATAAGTGATCCCAAACACCTACCTACTATGCCTGGAACTACCAATGAACACATATATCAGCCCAGATACGCTTCAGCCCATCCCAATATGTCACGTGGTGGCCAAAAGATGCAGTCATCCTGGCAGAGTGGGGGTGGGGGCAGGAAGCACTGCTCCACGGGGGCAGCAGCAATTCACCACAGAGCCCAAGTTCCTTTCAAGCTCTGCTGACACAGAAATTGAACAATCTCAGCTCACCCAAAGACCAGAATGAAAATATGCTAATTTATTTCAGAAGCTTTGCTGCATTGAAGAGTTAGGGCCTTTTATCTGTGCAGAATATTCCTTCTTGATAAATAGGTTCTCTCTAGAGAATAAATTACATATCAGAGAACTGTTTAGTCAGCATGGGAATAGAACAGGATATTCCAAAGGTACAGTCCAGGGGAGTGGGTAAGAGTGTAGCCTCTGCAGTGAGGCCAACCAAACATCAAACCTGAACTTCATTCATAATTTGCAAACTGACTGGCTTTGGGTAAGCATCTAGCCTCTTTGTACCTGTTTCCCCATTTGCAAAATGGGAATAATAATAGCATCTACCTGTCGCATTATTGAGAGAATTAAATGACTTAATGCTTGCCAAGTTATAACAGAGTAAAAGATCCCTGATTAAGACTCAGCAACTCTAAACTCAATGTTTACAAACCATCTCTTACCTCAAAGCATTTAACATACATTGTCTTATTTGATCATCACTAAAATCTCATGAAGCACGTAGGGCAGGGGTCTGCTCCATCTGGGGGAACTGAGCTCACAGAGGCTGGAGGATTTGCCTAAAGTCACCCATCCTGCTGGGTCTCACTCTCTCGTGTTAAATCTCAAATCTAGGATGCCCAATGCCACACTCTCAGCCACTTTGCAGTTGACTAAGCACATTTGTTTTTAATTAGCTCAGTCTTAGAGGATGACATTCTGATCTTGTCTCCACAGTTTAAAGGAACCTGTAGCTGTCTATTGGGTCACACATTGCATGACATGGAGAGGGTCAATGCTACTTCTGAAGGGATGGCTGACAGCCAGAAACCAGAAAGCAGTAGATAGCCAGGAACAAACTGGTGATTCTGAACAGGCTTGGAAGGCTTATCTCTGGTCAAGTCAGTGGGCTCCAACTGGGATGGGGCCTTCAGGGAGAGGTCAAAGCTCAGAAGTTTGAGATGAGATTAGCTAGCAAAGAGGAGGGGCAGCAGGGGAGGGCCAGCCATGGCAGACATCAAATCTGAGCCCAGATCAGGAAAAGGAGCCTGGAGAACTGGGGCTCTGGCACAGAGAACGTGCAGAACTTTGCCCTCTGAGTCCAGAGGCCAGGGCTGGGGCTGACTGTTGCCCAGCCTTCGCATCCCGAGAACCTGGAGAACTTCACCGTTTGAGTGCAGAGGCCAGGGCTGGGGCTGCCACCCATGTAGTTGAAAGGATGACTGAGCTGATCCAATTCCCTTTAAAAGTGTCCTTGTCCAGGGGAACTTGAGGAGGGTTAAGAAAGAAGCTGGGGACCAACCAGCAGTCCTCTACTCTCTCTCTCTATGTCCAGCAATGTTGTTTTACAAATGAGCATTAATCAGCGACTATAAACTATAGTTTCCACATAACTGACAACTTGCAATGGTTTCTATAGTATGCTCCCATATGTTAGGTCATTTAACTTTTAAAACACTCCTGTGAAATGTTCTTTTTTTTTTTTTTTTTTTTTTTTTTTTTTTTTTTTTTTTTTTTTTTGAGATGGAGTTTTACTCTGTCATCCAGGCAGGAGTGCAGTGACTCAGTCATGGTTCACTGCAGCCTTGACCTCCTGGGCTCAAGGAGTCCTTCCACCTCAACCTCCCAAGTAGCTGGGACTACAGGTGCACACTACCATGCCTGGCTAATTTATTTTTTTATTTTTTTAGGGACAGGGTCTCCCTGTGTTGTACAGGCTGATCTGAAACTCCTGGGCTCAAGCAATCCTCTCTGTTTGGCCTCCCAAAGTGCTGGAATTACAGGCATGAGCCACCATGCCTGGTCTCACTTTCACTGTACAGTTGAGAAGTCTGAGAAAACTCAGATTTAGGCAGATTGAGTCACTTTCCCAAATGTATGTTTCTTGTAAGAGTCCAGATTCAAACCTCAGGCTCCTAACTCTTAGTTCATTAATTTTTCTACCATGTCTCAGTATCCTCTAAGAATTCAGAAAGAACCACATTGACTCTGATTTTTAATTTAAGTACACAGGTAATAAGTGACTGTATTTTGTTGTTTAAAAATTCAAATAATACACAAAAGGTTAAAGTCCCTCCTCCCACTTCCTCTGCCCTCCCTATCCAACTCTGCCTCCCCAGGGGGAGCTTCTGCTGACAGTCAGTGGGCATTCTTTCAGAGTTTTGCAATTATATGTGTGTGTGTACATAAGATGTAGTTTTTCTTTGTGTAGGATACGTGAACTTTTAAATGTAAATGTGAGTTTATTATACATATTGACCTGCACCCTAGTTTTGTTTTGTTTTGTTTTGAGGAGTCTTTCTCTGTTGCCCAGGATGGGTATTTGGGCTGCCCACAGAAAGGAGCTTAATGCAGTGGTGCAATCTCGGCTCATTGCAACTTCTGCCTCCTGGATTCAAGTGATTCTCCTGCCTCAGCCTCCCGAGTAACTGGGATTGCAGGTCCCACCACCATGCCCGCCTAATTTTTGTATTTTAGTAGAGAGAGGGTTTCACTATGTAGGTCAAGCTGGTCTTGAACTCCTGATCTCAAATGATCCACACACCTCCGCCTCCCAAAGTGCTGGAATTACAGGCCTGAGCACTGTGCCTGGCCAGTTTTGTTTTTTTATTAACCGAGTTACATATTTTAAACCTCTCCATATTGATGCTTTGAGAGTTATTCTGTTCTCTTTAATGTTAATAGAGAATTTTAAGGCAATTTCAGATGAATCTATACAATTTCTCTGTATAGATAATTTATACAGAAAAATAGATTTTTACAAAGATGATTAAACTACCAGCCTGGTATTTTATTGCTGACTTAAATGAAGAGAAAACCAATGCTATAAGGAAGAAAAAATGGCATTAGAGATCCAGATCTTATAGGTGATTTTCCAAATTATAAATTTAATCTCCTAAACCAGGTGGCACTCAGCAGAAAAGAGAAAACGTCAACCGCCGACACCCCTGCTTGGGTCCCAGAGAGAACACTGGACCCATACCTCAGGACTCCAATGACTGCTCCCCAGGGGCGCTGGCTGCTCACCCAGAGGGCCAGCCCCCACCAGAGCCAGAGTGCCCAGGCCCGCAGCTCAACACAGGGACGCGGCTGGTCCTCCAGCACGTGCAGGCACTGCTGCTCAAGCGACTCCAACACACCGTCCGCAGCCACAAGGACTTCCTAGCCCAGGTGCCATTGTCGGTTGGTGTTTAGCTGCACTCAGTTGCTCCTCGCCCAGCCTTCCCCTCCTCTCTTGCATGTTCCTGCACACGCAGGTTCTAACTCAGTGAGGAGCATGCTCTTAAGATTCTGCCGGCTTTGTTTCCCACTTTCCAAACCTTTATTTCGATCCTTGGTAACATGAATCTTCTTTGTAAGTTGGAGCTCCCTTAGCAAAGAAAATAGAATAATAGTGAAAATGTTAATATTGTTTTTATTTTCACAGTGAGGGGTGAAGTCATGTTTTCATCTATTTTTGCAGTGACCCTACATATCAAGGTCATTGCCCTCTTTTTTCTTTCAATGTTTTTTAATTTAGAAAAAGAAGCTCTGGTTCAAAGAGCAGCGAGTCACATGAATGAATCTGACTTACTGCTCTTTGAACTGCCCTTGGACATCTGGCTGAACACTGGCCTGCGTTCAGATTCTTCAGTGGCCACCAGAACATTCTGTTTTCTTCTGCACATCTTACCTTTGCATACCCTGCCTCTTATGTTCCCCCAGAAGCCTGACCCTCTCCACCAGGGGCTGACAGAAGGCTGCAGGGTAAATGTTGAAGATGTGTGTGCACACATGACGTCTCCATGCCACAGTCATGTTTATTCCATGTCTGTTCTCCCACAGATCATTCTCCCAGCCACTTTTGTGTTTTTGGCCCTGTTGCTTTCTATCATCATCCCGCCTTTTGGTGAATACCCTGCCTTGACCCTCCACCCCTGGATGTATGGGCATCAGTACACCTTCTTCAGGTGCGTGGACTCAGGGTCAGAGTCACCATTTTCCTCTGAGGGTTTGGGGCACCTGGGTCACATGCTGCTTGGAAGGGCCCTGACTTTTCCACTTCACTGGGACCTTTACCAATGAGGGAGGGGTATTTGGGCTGCCCACAGAAAGGAGCTTAATGTATCTGCCACTGCTCGGAAAGGTGATCCTAGTGCACAGTCAGGACTGCTCGGGAAGGAGTGGGGAAAGAAACATAAAGCTTGGTTGAGTGGGTCGAAGCACTATCTTTTTAAGGCATAGGTGACATGCCATCAGACCACTGGGAGTGTTTGGGCAGCCTATCCCCTCCCAGGAGAACTAGCGCCATCCCAAGGCAGCATTCAGTGCCTTTAATACATACCTGGCACACAGCAGCCATCCAGTAAAGGCTCTGAGTTGCACGCTGTCGGCACATGCCTACTCTGTCCCAGTCATGTGTCTCACTCTGTCTAGCATGGATGAGCCCGGCAGTGAGCAGCTCACGGTACTTGCAGATGTCCTCCTGAGTAAGCCAGGCTTTGGCAACCGCTGCCTGAAGGAAGGGTGGCTTCCGTAAGTCTCTATGCGCCCCTGTCCTAACAAGACTAGCTACCCTGGGAGGACCCAACAGTGGGGTTTGGGATGGCAGGAGATGGAGAGGCCCCACTCAGTCCTGCTCCGCTGGTCACTTCCAGATCTCTGACCAGCACTCCCCCCACCTCTCCTTCCACACTTGTGTGTGGGGCATTCACTACCTCCTAGGAAGCCCACATACCATTAGACAGCTCTGTATTTCTCAGCTTAGAAATTCTATGTTGAGTTGACAGACGATTCCCCATGCCTTATTTGAAAGGCCTCTGAATGGGGAGGGAGGAAAATGGGGTTATGATATTATATAACTGGGCCTTGCATGGCAAGTTAATGACATAGTGGCCAGTGCTCCGTGATTGTTACGGGTCTGGAGAAGGGAGCTAGCGAGGGCAGTTGACATCTACCAGGACTCCTAAAAGTTCAGTGTAATTTTAACTTTTCTTACTCAGTCTTTTTCAAATCTGTCAATAAGAACCAAAATAGACTAATTTCAAATTCCTCCTTCAGTTGCTTTGTCTCTCAAAAGCAAAAGAGAAAAAAAGAGAGACAAAACGGTCCACAGCTAGAGATGATTATTCCCCAATCCCACTCCTAGTCAGTCAACAAAACCCTAGTCTTGGTATTGCTTGAGCAGAAACTAGCCTCCAAGAGAAGAAGAAGAAAGGGCCTGGGTCTAAAGAGGAGGAGGAAAGGGTTGGACACTATTTTTTATGCCTAGGGATTTCTCATCAACTTTGGAGCTAATTGTGGAATATTTTCTTGTCTTCCCTGAGGGAGTACCCTTGTGGCAATTCAACGCCCTGGAAGACTCCTTCTGTGTCCCCAAACATCACCCAGCTGTTCCAGAAGCAGAAATGGACACAGGCCAACCCTTCGCCGTCCTGCAGGTGCAGCACCAGGGAGAAGCTCACCATGCTGCCAGAGTGCCCCGAGGGTGCCGGGGGCCTCCCGCCCCCCCAGGTATCCAACCCTGAGCAACGGGGCCCCAGGCCTGCCTGACACACGGTACTGGGGGGAGTCCCTGGTAGCTCCTGAGTCTCTCGCCAACTAACATTTCAAACTGACCATTGAGTGGGGAGCTAAACCAAACTCCCTGTGTCCTCTGAGGGGGGCTCCTCACAGGGCACTGTGGCTGCCAACAGGAGGAAGCCACTGACCAAAGCTTCATTTTCCACCAGATACTTCCTATTCAATGTAGTAGAAAAATGTGTTTACATACTTAAAAAATTATACAAGTCGTATGTACTCATTGTAGAAAAATTAGAAAACACAGGTAAGTCAGAAGGAAACAAAATCATCACTTGGATATAACAACCAATAATGTTTGGTTTGCATCCACCCAAACAGATTATATTCAAAGTATTGTCTTGAAATCTGCTTTACTAACTTATTCTGAGCATGCGTCCATGTCAATAAATAGACATTTGCATCGTTTTTAATACCTGTATATTATCCCATCGTTTGAATTTACTTCTTTTTTTGAGACAGAGTCTCACTCTGTTACCCAGGTTGAAGTGCAGTGGCACGATCTTGGCTCACTGCAACCTCTGCCTCCCAGGTTCAAGCAATTCTTGTGTGTCAGCCTCCCAAGTAGCTCGGATTACAGGCATGTACCATCGTACTCAGCTGATTTTTTTTTTGTGTGTGGTTTTAGTAGAGACAGGGTTTCACCATGTTGGCCAGGCTGGTCTTGAACTCCTGGCCTCAAGTGATATGCCTACCTCTGCCTCCCAGAGTGCTAGGATTACAAACATGAGCCACCGTGCCTGGCCTAAATTTACTTTAAATTATTGGCCATTTGGGCTTTTCATGTTTTTGCCGTTATAAGCAATGCCATGATGTACATTCAAATGCAAATATATTTACACACTTATTAACAGTCCTAATTAAGAAGGTCTCCGTGTGCTGTGTATGTAACATGTGCAGGTATGTACACAAATACATGCAGAGCCACATCCATCTTTTGCAGGGACATTAATGATCTTGGCTCTGAACAGCACCCTGTCCTGGGAGTTCTAAAGTCCAAAACAGATTACAGTGAGCATCTCCTGGGGGATTCAGAGACATTGAAGAAGGCTGTGTCCCTGGTTGATATTGGGCCTCCCAGCTGACTTGCCAGGGCTGGGCCTTAGACAGCCCTGTCCCATGATTTGTCAGTGAATAAACAGCTCCTAAAGACGCTGTGCAGTACGGTGGGAAAGCACATGTATGGAACGCAGAGAGGCCCAGGTGGGCTGCTTGACCTCTCTGAACCTCAATTTCATCACCTGTGAATTGGGAATAACTGCTTATTTCATAATATTATTATGAGGTTTAATGAAATCATGTGGAAAAGGAATTATTTAGAATTAGATTCAACTCAGGTGATGACAACCCCAAACTAACAGTGGATAAAACAAGACACAGCTTGTTCCTCGCTCATCTAAAAGCCTATGTGGGTGGTGCATGATGTATTTTCTGTTTCTCCTCCACACTGAACAGGCCTCAGCCTCACCAGCCAATATGGCAGGAGCTGCCTTCCAGGCAGCAGAATGGAAGAAGGATGCAGCAAAAGAGAGGGCAGAGTGTGCACACGTGCTGTGTTTAGGGAAGGTTTTCTGAAGCTCCCACATAGCACTTCCACTTACAGATCCCTGGCCAGAACTAGCATCCAAGGAGACTGGGAACTTCAGTTTTTGTTCTGGATGGTCTTGCACCCAACAAAAAAGGCTAAGGCAGCAGGGACAAGTGGATAATGAGGGTAACTAGATTTTGCCACAGCACCTATCACAGTGTGGCTTATAAATGGTTCTATACCAAGAACACCCAATCCCTGCTCTTTTTTAATATTCTAAAGCATGTATCTTTATATTTCTCAAGCAAAATATTCTCTCTTTGAATCACAGCTCAGCCACTGCATCATAGGGAACTCAAAAGGACCTGAGGAGCTTGTCTCAGTCCTCTGCACCCCAAGAGGAAGATTTGCTTGTTTGCTTTGCAATCAGTGCTGAGGGCTCCTGTGGCTGCCTCCACTCAAAACCCTCCAGCATCAGCACATCAAGGCTGTGATCTGTTCACTGAGCTCTTGGCCAGGAGAGGGAGGGGAGGCCTAGCCTACCTACATGGTGATTCATTTCCTAAACGAATCCTTACTTGCACGCCGCCTGTCCAGCTTAGAAGCTTATTTTCAGTCATGTTGGTCCTTGGTGCCTGGACAAAATGTAACAGCCAAAGTCCTTGAAAAAGGCAAACCAGTTCCTGCAATTTTATTTCCCTTCTGCATTTCATCACTGTTATATATGCCTTCCTTTGGAGCAAAACTGTGTGCCACACATATGCCCAGGAGCTGCTCACTCACTCTCTCTCTCTCACTTTTTCTCTCTGTCAGTCTCTCTCTATCTCTCTCACACTTTCTCAATCTCTCTCTTTCTCTCTCACTTTTTCTTTCAATCTTTCTCAATCTCTCTCTCTCTCTCTCTCCTATACACACACACTCACAAACCCACACTCTTATTCACATCTGCTCACACTAGCCACTCAAACACATTCCCTTATTCAGCCTGGAATAAGTCCAGAGGGTGTGGGCCTGACTCAGAGGCAATCAGTTGTCCTTATCTGGGAAATGGGGCAATGCGGTCACCTCTAGGGGCCCTCCCCACTCCAACAGGCTTTGAATGTGCTGGGTCCTGAGGTGGAAGCACTCTATCTCTGACTTCTAGGATATGTGGAGATAGGGTTATACAATCACGGTGGTGTGATACCACCAAAATCCCCTCAACTGCTTCTGGGCAGCACCCTTGACAGAGTGAATGCTTTTACCGGAGGGTCATGACTGACCTGTGAAGTTGGCTAGTATGAGAAACCAAGCGCAGTGTTACCAGATTTGCAGTAATATTGCCACCTGGTGGCAAAACTCATGCACCTTTGAATTTTCCAAAATCTTTCTATGAACTAGCTTCTAGTCCTAGATGTATTTTGAAAGTGATTTGTAAATTATAAGGCACTATTCAAATTCTTTCATTAATGTCGCAAATCTACTGTGTCAACTGTATGCCAGGCACTATTCTGGGTTCTGGGGACACAACAGCCCATAAATCAGGCAAAGTCCCTACTCTCACCAAAATGACACCCAATGGGAGATGACCGATATAAATAGGTAAACATATCCATCAGGAGGAAACTCTTAGATAGAGATGAGCACTGTGAAGGTAACACAACAGTATGTGACAATACAGAGTGGCTGGAAACAGGAAAATTTCTCCGAGGAATAAAATTTAGACTGAGAGCAAGCCATAAGAGGGTCTGCAGGTAGAGTTCCCAGCAGAGTGAACAGCCAGGCACAAAGCTGCACCAGGAGAGAGGGGTGCTCGCTGAGAGACAGGGAGGTGGGTGCAAAGGGGTGGCAGTGCAGCAGGTGAGCTGAGAGAAGGTCAGGCCACACGCATCAGGCCACATGGGCCTTGGTAGTGAGTCGAGATTTGATCCCAGGGTTTATTGAGTGGATAAGTAAGCAAGGTGACTGAGGTGCTCGGGTTTACATCTTTATAGCTCAAACTGGCTGCTGGGTAGAAAACGGAAGCTGATGGACCAAGGCCAGAATTAGGCAGACCAGCCTGGAAGTTTCTCTGGCAGTCTAGGTGGTAGCTTGAGTAGGGTGGCAATATTGGAGCTGGAGAAACACAGATGGATTAGATATTTATTTTGGAGTGAGGTCATCCTGTCTTGTCAATGGATTAGAGAAAAAAGAGGCATCGAAGATTACTCACACATCATTGAAGTGAGAACTAGGGAGATGCCAGTGCTTTATTTAGTATTTTCCCAGCAGCTGAATCCGTAAATAATTTTTGGAGAAGAACAAGCAGTTTCACAAACTGCTTGTAAGTCCTAAAGTTCCCAGGTAATTAATGTGGGTGTCTCATTGCCTCAGAGAACACAGCGCAGCACGGAAATTCTACAAGACCTCACGGACAGGAACATCTCTGACTTCCTGGTAAAAACATATCCTGCTCTTATAAGAAGCAGGTAAGAAGAAACCCTTTTATGCTTTTAATCCTGGCTCCCTGTAGAAGATATTGACTAGCGACAGAAGATAATTTTCTCTCACAATTTATCTGATTAGGGCAGTGGGTTTTTTTCCTTTTTTTTTTTAAATCTAATTTGAGGACCTCATTCAACATAAGAAGCAATTGAGGCACATACAAGTAAACTATAACTTAAGATTAATTCTGGGTTTTTTGTTGTTGTTTATGTTTAGGGCAAGCAGTCTTCAATTTTAACCCATGTATTATTAAAAGTTATATTAGAAGACCATGGAAGTTATTCAAAAATGCAACCACATATTTTAACTTGTTTAAAGAGAGAGTCTCATCAAACAAGTTAAAAGAGGAAGGGAGGTGGAGGAGTAAAGGGGAAAAGGTAAAGGAAAAAGAGAAAAAAAGTAAGAAACAAAAAAGAAAGAAAAAAGTCAGACATGGTGGGAAAGAGGCGGTTGGTTACTGTGTGGGTCCAGCACAGACCAGGGCAGGCCAGGGCCACTGCAGCTGTCATATTCTGTGAATTATCATTTGTTATCACTGCCCTTTGAGATGCCAATGAACTTTTCAAGAAGTATCTAGTTCTCTTGGCTCTCCAGCTGTTCGTGTCAGCCCCACCCAGCATGGAACAGCTTTGGTAGCCCGTATCAGAGCAAGCAGCTTGACAGAGGCATGCCATGCCAGGAAAGAGGATCCTAAGGAAACATGGTCCAGTCTGCACAGGCTTTGGGGCTTTAAAATAAAACATCCCGTCTAACTTCAGTAGGACTTTCTGTTGCTTCACCTGCCAGAGCCCTGAATGAGGGTTGAATTGACTTAATTTAGAACACACTGCAGATGGTGAAAGCATTTAGCAAACCAAAGAACGCCATCCAAGCCCAAAAATAAAGTGGAGTAAATATAATGCAATAAACAGCAACCACCCCAAACTTAGTCCTCAGCAGCAAATCTGCAGTATGAAATTTTGGATTGTGTGTGTGTGTGTGTGTGTGTGTGTGTGCTTAAAGGTTGATAACAATGTCAGTTCATGGGACTGAGCTCTGAGGTCCAGAGTTGGCATCTGTTCATTTCCCATCTTGTCATTTTACCCTCGATCGACTGAATGTCAGTGCCTTAACTTTGGGCTGTGGAGTGAGTCAGAACTCCCCCAAGGTGTGCAGGTGATTGTTAGAGTCTCATTTGTGCAGGGTGGAAGACAGCAGGGCTGCAGCCTTCACTCCACACTGACATGGTCATTGTCATGTGTTCTGGGTCCTGATCAGGCATACTGACCTGACATATGACCTGACGACAGGATCACTCAGAAAGTCCAACATGCGGGATATGATTTGGGGAGCTGGTCAGGGGAAAAATAGGTCCTTTCTCTGCATCTGTATTCAGGCAATGTTGTAGGGCTGGGTAGCTTCTGCATTGCATAGATATCGGAAAATGCAAAAATGGGTCCGGGTGTGGTGGCTCACACCTGTAATCCCAGCACTTTGAGAGGCTGAGGCGGGTAGATCACCTGAGGTCAGGAGTTTGAGACTAGCCTGACCAACATGGTGAAACCCCATCTCTGCTTAAAATATAAAAATTAGCCGGGTGTGGAGGTGTGTGTCTGTAATCCCAGCTACTCAGGAGGCTAAGGCAGGAGAATCACTAGAACCAGGGAAGTGAAGGTTGCAGAGAGCCAAGATTACACCACTGCACTCCAGCCTGGGTGACGCACAGACTGAGTGACACAGCGAGACTCCGTCTTAAAAACAAATGCCCCTGAATGAGACTTCAGTCTTCAAAATGAATGAATGTTTGGGAAAGAAAGTTAACAGCACTGCTGTACTTGTGGTATTCATTGCATGATTTTATTTTGGCTTTCAGCTTAAAGAGCAAATTCTGGGTCAATGAACAGAGGTAAGAAACTATTTGTTTCAGAATTAAAATCTCACACTAATTTGCTTGAAATAATTGTACACTTTTGAAAGACACACCTCACAGCCACGTGGAGGGGCTGTTCTGTATGTGCTCAGGAAGTCACAAGACACGTCCTGAAGAATATGTGGCTAGGGACATCTCAGACTCAGAGGACACTCAATGGTATCTCTTCTTGGAAGATGTAAGTGGGGAATGGCATTTCCTGATGAGGCATTTCAGAGCATTCTCACCCAAAAAAAGCTTCTAAAACCTCTAAGTATATAACAGTTTGTAATACTCCCACAAGAGGGACTTGTAGTCGAGGCCCGGGACACTCCTTGGCCAATTCCTTTTAAGCTTCAGGGAGTGTAGGCCAGCCCCAGACCCACCCCATTCCTGAGGAGGTTGAAATGGTTCCAGAGGTTTGGAGACTCGTCTAGGGGTACTCTAGGAACTAGCTGCCTCCCAGCCTCCCTCAGGAACTGCGCCTCCAGAACAGGTGTGGGGCTGACGTGGACATGCTTTCCTGGGCAGATTCTAGGCCGTACACTTGAAATCTGGCTTTCAGGATTGCTCCAGAGGGACCTGTGGAGCCTCAGCTGAGATAGAAAGCAGGTGTGAGGCAGTGCTTCAGGGCCTTGAGAAAGAGCTCCTCCTCTGCTTTGCATAACCAGCTAATTCATTCTGTTCTGTTGAGTTTGGCTTTTGCCCTGCCTTTGAAGGGTTTGTGGCCAGGGAGTGATGCACTAAGACTGGTGTTTCCACACAGTCACTTCCAGGGCAGTACGGGAGCTGGATCCCAAGGCCAGGAGCCCAGTGAAGAAGTGGAGTACAGGTCCAGGCAGGAGAGGGTAAGGGCCTCCTAAACAGGGGTGATAGGGATGACAGGATGAAGATGCGTCCTGTGCTGCTAGAAGTGCCTGGAAAGCACAGAGGCGGCACAGAAAAGGAGTCCTTGGCTGGGGTGGGAGGAAATGACATGTGACGTGTGAAAGAGGACCTGGAGTTGACTAGATGCTCACCAAAGGGAAAGGTACCAAGGGGAGCTAGCAGCCCAGCAAAGGCAGAGACACATAGGCAGTCTGGGCCATGTGGAGCTCTGGAAGTGACTCCACATGTCCCAGACGTGTCCCTAGTTCACTCCAGGGAAGGGATGAGGAGAGATGAAGTTGGAGAGGGGCACAGACCAGATGCAGAAAGGCCTCATAGGCCAGGATGAGGGTCTGGATTCCTTCTTGGAGGCAGCAGCAGTGGGAAAAGAGTGAAAAGCTTGTTTGTAAAGTGGAGCTATGTTGCTCACTGGTCCAGACAATTACCCCAAAAGTACATGTTTCCCTACAAAAACTGAGAGAGCTACTAGTAGGTGTGAAGCTCATGGCACTGTCTGTTGATTTCTTGTTTCCTCATCAGGTATGGAGGAATTTCCATCGGAGGAAGGCTCCCAGTCGTCCCCATCACAGGGGAAGCACTTGTTGGGTTTTTAAGCGACCTTGGTCAGATCATGAATGTGAGCGGGGTATGTAAACAGACTGGAGATTTGAATAGCATTTTTGACTTGCTTAATTACCATGAACTAGAAACTGTCATGAATGACAACAGGAAAAAAACAAAAATCCTCGTTTGTTTGTTTACATGGCTTTTAGGGCCCTGTCACCAGAGAGGCCTCTAAAGAAATACCTGCTTTCCTTAAACATCTAGAAACTGAAGACAACATTAAGGTACTTGACCTGTATAATAGCTGCTTATTTTATTTTTACTTTCCCAGCTTTGTTAAATTCCATCCCTCCTCCTGCTGAATTCTAGCAAGGAATGCCTTCCAGCTGCCAAACCTTTCCTCCTTCTCAAATGCTCTTTCCTTCACTGATTTCTTCTTTAGCAGTTAATACAACGTCTCAAATGTCCTCTCCACTTTCTAGGTGTGGTTTAACAACAAAGGCTGGCATGCCCTGGTCAGCTTTCTCAATGTGGCCCACAACGCCATCTTACGGGCCAGCCTGCCCAAGGACAGGAACCCCGAGGAGTATGGAATCACTGTCATAAGCCAACCCCTGAACCTGACCAAGGAGCAGCTCTCAGAGATTACAGTGTAAGCCACCACGGCTCCGGCCTCATCACTTTCTTGTCAGCATCTCCACTCTTTGAACATCCCGAGAGGATTCTCACCACTGTGAAGTGCTGGGTTGGATGGCAATGCTGTTTAGTGAGGCACATATGAACATATGAATTTCAAATAAGTGCCTCACGCCTCATGTACAAGACTGCTTGGTCATTCTTTCTCCCCCACATTTATGTGGAAAGTAAGTTTATATTTGGTTCCATTCCCTTTTGGCTCTTGATGGCAAGTTGCTACTGGAGCTTATGCAATTATTCTCCTTGCTAGTGTGCAAAGTGGCTGCCAGGAACTGGCAAAGTTCAGTAAACCTTTCAGCTTCCTGGGAGTAATTATCTCAGATTCCAGGAATTTCCTCAGAAGAGCATACTTTGGAGATGTCAACAGAGCTTTGCTACCCTCAAGCTGAGGCTCTCCTTGCACAGTTTCAGTCAGTGGAGACAGCGGTCTTGTGCGTTTTGTAACATGTTCACCCTATTGAGGTCTATGTGGAGGAGGTGTTGGTAGGAGCACTTTTGTTGCTGCAAACTTCTGCAAGGCTGTGGGGTCCTGATTTTACTATTCTAGCACACCCTGAGTGCCAGCGAACATGCCCAGGGTCATCGACTACAACTTGGGCCTCAGATCCTTGATTTCTTCCTCTGGACATGTTAGGGCCCTAGAGTGTCCTCTGTTAATTCTCACTCAGCCACACTTTTATGTGTCTCCTTCCACTCATTTGTTCTCAGCTTACTACATGTATGGATGACAGGATCTGTAGTTTTATCAGGCCAGTGACTACCATATAAGGTACCTTTGTGGAAATTAGTAAAAGTGCTCTTTTCTACAGGTGGACACTGTCCCACGCCAGGGCTTATCGCTTGTACATAAAGTTCAGGCTGGCTTTAGCCCCAGCTTACCCCTTAACTAGATGACTTCTATTTGGTTGAGGAAAGGATAAATAGAGCCAAGCCCCTGTACAACGTACCTGTCCTCTTTTCACTTAAATTTACATTATGACCATTTCCTTGTGTTATGATGTACTTCTTGAAAATGTGATTTAACAAGATTATTATTGACAAAAGATAAATCTCAAAGACCGTATGTCTGTCTACATAGAAAATTGAAGAGACTCTACAGACAGGTTATTAGAGCTAATAAGAGCATTGTAGTACATGAGATTAATATAAACATCTACTTCTCTACACCATAAAATAATTAGAGAATATAATAAAAAGAAAGGCTGTCTAGAAATATTCACATGAAACAGAAAGGCAACCCACGAATACCCATTTAACCTTGTCCATATGGATTAAGACAGTTTAGAGGGGTGATAGCTTTGGGGTAGAGAAGGGGAACCTGGAGGCCACCCCCGTGTAGGGGTAAGGTCTTCACAGAGCCTGACTTTGTATCTTCTCCTGCTTCTGCTCATCCCTCTTCATCACCCTCTCCCTGTGTCTCTGGCCCTGCTGCAGGCTGACCACTTCAGTGGATGCTGTAGTTGCCATCTGCGTGATTTTCTCCATGTCCTTCGTCCCAGCCAGCTTTGTCCTTTATTTGATCCAGGAGAGGGTGAATAAATCCAAGCACCTCCAGTTTATCAGTGGAGTGAGCCCTACCACCTACTGGGTGACCAACTTCCTCTGGGATATCGTGAGTGTCAGTTTATAGTGCCTTCCCCTTGCTCCACGGGCCCAAGGTGGAGCTTGTGTGTGTTCTGAAGGACTAGACAGAGTTGGGAGGGGTTCTCATGATGCCAAGGCTGCACCATGAGATGCCCCTTTATCTCAACAAGATGCCCCTTCTCATTTCTTTCTCTCTTCCTCTCTCTCTCTCTCACATACACCCCTCGGCACCTCCAATATATCTTTTTCAGTGCAGGTGGGAACAGCTCCTTTTATGTTAGAATCATCCTGATTCTATAAAAGGGGCTGGTCCCACCTGCACTGAAAAGCTGCTTAGCAAAGTGCTGGGGTTTTTTGTTTTTTGTTTTTTTGACAGAGTCTCGCTCTGTGTCCCAGGCTGGAGTGCAAGTGGCACGATCTTGGTTCACTGCAACCTCTGCCTCCTGGGTTCAAGTGATACACCTGTCCTCAGCCACCTGAGTAGCTGGGATTATAGGCACGCACTACCACGCCCGCCTAATTTTTGTATTTTGAGTAGAGATGGGGGTTACACCATGTTGATCAGGCTGGTCTCGAACTCCTGACCTCAGGTGATCTACCCATCTCGGCCTCCCAAAGTGTTGGGATTACAGGTGTGAGCCACCGCACCTGGCCTTATTTTACTTTTTTTAGAAGAGGAGAAATAGAATTTATACACTTGGGGCTGGCCCGTGTGTGTGTGTGTGTGTGTGTGTGTGTGTGTGTGTGTGTGTGTGTTTACAGGGATCTCTGAGCCTATCGAGAGATATGTGGCTAGGATAGAGTGGGTATCTGAGGTGGGAGGCGATACTGGCTGGCAGTCCAATGAAGCGGTAGAAGATGGCAGGCATCAGGTTAGCAGGCTTTCTGATGCTCCAGAATTTTAAAGCTGGCCTGGAATCTGACCTCTGCGATCTATCATTTTAGAACTTAGTAACCCCATTAGCCAGTGGCAAAAAAGTTGAATGAAGGAACAAACAATTATTGTGTATGTCATTCACTTTCCCCATAAATGATGTTTTAAATTCTTATATGTGTCATCTATTTTTCTTTACTTTTAAATTTTGAAACAGTTACAAACTTACAGAAAAGTGGCAAGTACAAAACCTTTTTTTCTGAGTCATTTGAGAATAACTTCTAAACAAGATGCCCCTTCTCATTTCTTTCTCTCTTCCTCTCTCTCTCACACACACACACCCCTCAGCACCTCCAATGTGTACTTCCTACAAACGAGGATACACTCCATGCAACCGCAACACAAACTGTCAACATGAGGAAACCAGCACTGATGCATCACCACCACCTCATCCTTACATCTCACTCATGTTTTGCCCATTGCCCCAGTAATGTCTTTCAGAGAAAAAAATCTAGCTCAGAATCACGCGTGGCATTTGATTGTGCTGTTTCTTTAGTCTTCTTCAGCCTAGAACAGTTCCACGGTCTTTCCTTAACACTCATGGCCTTGACACTGTTCAAGATTGCAGGCTGCTTATTTTGCAGAATGTCCCTTGGTCTGAGCTTGTCTGAGGTTTCCTCTTGCACAGGTTGAGGGTGTGCATCTTGGCAGCAGTATCACTAAACAGATGCTGTGTTCTCACTGCATCCTATCAGGTAGCTTCTGATTGCAACTTGTTCTGTTACTGATGATGTTCAATTCGGTCACTTAAGAAGATGGTATCTGCTGAGCTTCTTCACCTAAAATTACTCTTTTCCCTTTATAATGAATACAAATCAGTAAATACAAATCTGGGGGAGAGGCACTTCAAATATATATAAATATGCTATTCATTATACAACTTTCCATTTATTCATCCATTTAGCTCTGTATGCAATCATGGTTCCTGTGTTAATCAATGGACTGGGATCTGAGACTGTCATTATTTATTTTGATGTTCACATTATCCCTAGTGTGGTCAGCGGGAGCCCCTTGAAGCTGGCTTCTGTAGCCTGTTGACTCAGGTCCTTATCCCCCTTGAGCTTCTCCATGCTTAGTGGCACAGCAAGGCGTTCCAGGCTCATCCTGCAGTTATCCTCACCCCTACCCTCTCCCCAAGAAGCCCTGGTTCCTGCCAGCAGGAACTGACCCTCAGAAACCAAGATCTGAGTGCTAGATATGTTCATTGCCTCTGAAGCACCATTGGTCCCAGGCCTTCTCAGTGATAGAACTAGGGAAGGTATGGATGTACATGCACAAGTATGCACACACCTCTGTCTATGTCTCTCTATCTACCTACACACCGAACACTCTGAGCTCACCAAAACCAGCTCCACAGGGCTCATTCTAGTTTTTTTGTCTTTCCACATCTGTAACTCCCTTCTCCAACAGTGACACACTGGCTTCTCTCACTCCCAACTCATTTGTCTACTGGGCAATACACCTGTATGTCAAGAGTGACCTTCTCTGCCACCATCGCCTCCCTGTGTGGATACCATCCTCTCCCTGCTTGGGCTGACTCTGCTGTGTGCAGGTCCTCCTCATTCTGCTGTGGCTTTGATACCCCACACCAGATCAGCCCCCTATAAGGATATTTATCTCATTCCATTGAGGCCCCCACACCCCATACCAGGTTGCTTTGAGGAAGCTCTTCTCTGGTTCTTGCCCTGCTCCTGACCACTGTGACTCCTCCCCTAACCCTACTGTTGCTACCCCCTTTCTGTGCCCAATATAATGGCTTCAGGACTGAATTGTTTGAAAAGGGTATCATTATTTATTTGAGCTTTGTGAAGCCAAGAACTAGACTTTAAGTTTTTCTGAATTCTGAAGACATGCTTAGAAAGAAGAATCAACAAAACTTTATGACCAATTAGAGAGAGAGAGAGACCAGGCAGAATTTTGTAATTGATCCTTTCAAGAGATACAGACTGAAGGTTTCCTGGGCAGGGAGGTGGGGCACGGGGTGGGGAAGGAGGACCAGTGACACCTTAACATATGTTTGCCAACCAAGAACTGTTTAAAAGCAAGTTGAATCAGAATCCCAGACCCTAAGAGCTGGAGGAGCCTGGCCCTACCCCTCATTTTCTAGAGCCAGAAGCAGTTCTAAGAGTTTGAGTGACTTGCTCTCCTCTTCTCTTTCCGAGATGAATTACACCGTGAGCGCTGGGCTGGTGGTGGGCATCTTCATCGGGTTTCAGAAGAAAGCCTACACTTCTCCAGAAAACCTTCCTGCCCTTGTGGCACTGCTCCTGCTGTATGGGTAAGCTGTTAGGGCCATTAGCTAATGCCTCCAAAGGAAGCCCAGGGAGGAGGATCATCTCCTGACAGAAACCTGGGCCATCCTGTGGTGGTAGCACCCACAAGTTTAGCTTCTGGCCCCAGGTGGGGTCTGAGGCTGCTAACCAGGGATCTGTCTGGCTTCTGTTTCTGACTCAACTGACAGAGGTATATCTGAGGCCTGGTCCATTCAGCAACAATGAAAGAAGTCCCACATGATCTGAATCTTCTACTCAAACTGAGACCTTGACCAAAGCCTGGGGGGTCAGCCATTCCCCAGCTCCTCACCCAGCTCTGACTGTCACTCATCTGGGGCCATTTTGTCTACCTCAGCGTCTCCATGTGAACTGCCCAAGAGTTATCCGCACACAGTAGAAGACTCCAGCCAAAAAGCTGTTCTTGAGTCAGGGTAGAGGATGACACAGGGGTTACCTCCAGCAGAGTTACAGAGCCCAGCATGCAACTTCCTTTCCTACATGTGTAACTTTGTATGAGTAATTTATCCTTCTGGGCCTCAATTTCCTCATCCGTAAAATGAAAATAGTGATCCTGGTTTTTCCTATGTGGGCCAGTAGAGCCTTGCCAAAGCATTGGCCTCCACTTGTCTCTCTAGGAAATAGAAAATTTGGGAACCAGCCTGACTGTGAACTGTGAAGATGAGCTCATTAGGACCCTCAGCTGGGCTTTGCTGACCTAGACTAAAGTGGGAGGTTTTGCAGGGTGGAGACCCCTCCTATACGTTGTACAGGGCTTTGTAATTTACAGAGTACATGCATAACTATTAACCCATTTGCTCCTCGCAGAAGCCCATGAAGTGGTCAGGCCAGGCATCATTATCTCCATTTAAAGCTAAGGCACAGAAATCAACAAATGGAGTATCTCTCTGGTCCCCTGGGACTCTGACCTCATGTCACCTCATGTGTAAGGGGAGTGCATTCTGTCTAGAGGTATTGCAGATGGAATGGAAAGTGGAACTCCATCACTCTGAGTTGTCTCATTTCACACAGATGGGCGGTCATTCCCATGATGTACCCAGCATCCTTCCTGTTTGATGTCCCCAGCACAGCCTATGTGGCTTTATCTTGTGCTAATCTGTTCATCGGCATCAACAGCAGTGCTATTACCTTCATCTTGGAATTATTTGAGAATAACCGGGTGAGCAAACTTTCTTGGATTTTTTGTTTGATTAGTAGGATAGTAGAGTTATGTGTTGGTCAAGTAGAGCCAGAGGCAAGCAATGTACATGTAGCAGCTGAATGCAGAGATGAGTGCCGCTTTCTCCCTCCCGACCACCACCTCTCATCCTTCATTCCTCCTCCCTTTCTCTTTTCTTCCATCTTTCCTTCTTCCTTCCTTCTTCCTTCCCTTCTCCCTCCTTCCTCCCTTCCTCCCTCCCTCCTTCCTTCCTTTCTTCCTTCTTCCTTCTTTCCTTCCTATAAACTCCTTTATCATTTCTGTGCTCTGAGTGACATGGTTTTTCTGCATTTATTCTGCAAGCAAAAGTTTATTCTTGCAATAAACTTTAAGATTTGCTTACTCTTTCAGAAGGGTTTTCTCAGGGACTTTGGGTGTTAGGTTTTACACACACACATAATACATTGGGTGATTTCAAATCTAAAAGGAACAAAAAGGCATACAATGAAAACATCTCCTTCCTACCCCTGTTTCCCACTCACCTAGTTCCCTTCTCCAGAGGCAGCCTCTTATTTGAGTTTCCTGTGTGCTCTGGAGACACAGGAGCAGATCCCTATACATTCTTTCTCTCACTTTCTTATAGAAATTGTAACACTCTGACATATACTATTCCTTGGCCAGTTAATCTTGAGGATGAGATTGTGGATTCCCCATGCTGAATGCCTCACTTTTATGAGCTGCCAAGCCCTGTTGTCCCTTCCACACCCCCGACCTCCCCTGTCCAGAGACAGATGGACAAACTGAATCATAAAAAGATTGGAAAAAATGAAGGCAGTGGCTGCAGGGCTGTGTTTACTCCACACTCTGCACTCGCAGTCCCCACTGCTGGGTCTGAGTCCTGGCTGTGGCTGTCCTTAGAACGTCTGCCTCCCCATGTGCCTGTGTCCCCAGGTGCCTCAACCTTTCCTACATTAGCTCTTCCTAGTTCAGAGGCTGGGACCAGCTAGCACATCTGCACTCCTGCCCTGTAGCGCCCACCTCCACCTTCCTCTGGGCCCCACTGGGGAACACAGGGCAAATCTGTAAGAGGCCCCACCGTGAACCCCCCAGACCCGTGGCCTCCTGAGACTGACTCTTTCCAGATCTTGTTAGGGTAATGAAGCCTCATCTGTCCCATGAATGATAAGAAGTTCAGCATGTCAGAGTCAGATTCTGGAAAGGGGGAGGAGGAGAACACAGCCCCAGCAGATGGCCAGAGCACCCTGGTGACTGAAAGTGCTGCTTTGTGGAGCTGTGTTTATTGCAGGCTCGTAGCCCACTAAGTCTGAGAGAGCGTTTCTTCAGAATAATTAAATAGCCAGCTTAAAGCAACTCAGAACATTGTCCCCTCTGTGGCTGCACCCATTTAGCCAACATTTGCTAAGCACCCGCCTCCATAAAGCTAGTATTTTCATGTAAATTATCAGATACACAGCTGCTGCAGAAACCTCTAGTATCCCACAGGAGGCTCCCAGCTCCCAGCAGCTGCTGCTCCTGCACCATCACGGGGTCTTTACTAGCTGAACACAACATGCTGGGGGTGCTGATATAAACAAACGTGGCCCACTCGTCCTGCCCTCCAGAGGCTCCCATTCCAGTTAGGAAAGGATCTGCCCACCAAGTTAGCAGCTGATATAAGCCCCAGTGTATGATCCTCCATAATACAGTGTATGACAGAGCAGCAGAGGAGTGAGGTGGATAACACGTGCAGGCCAGAGGCAGCAGAAAGAGCTGGTCTGCGGGGGCTGGGGGAGCTGTGGTAGAGGAAATTCCATTTCAGCCTGTCCTGGAATAAGTAGATTTCTGTTAGCTCATTTAATAAATAGTGAAGTGCCTACTATGAGCTAATCATTGTGCAAGTATTTAGGAAGGACACAAAATTAATTAGGACCCAGTGCTCACCCTCCAGGGGCCCACTGACTAGTGGAGAAAGTCAACAGATTTTTAAAAAATTAATCCAGGGAATGTGGTAAGTGCTGTGAGAGAGGAATGGATACTTTCTCATGGGAATCTAGGAAGGCTTGTAAGAGAAGGCACTCTCTGAGCCAGCTGTCTGAAGAAGAACAGGAATCTTTCAGAAAGCAGAAGGGAAAAGAGCATCCTTTCCTGCTAAGAATAATAGGTAACAGCCTGCAAACGCCCAGGCCTAGAGGCCAAAGAGTACAGTGATTCCAGAAAGGGTGGGGAAACGGTGGGTGGGGGGGTAGGCGGGGAGGATGAGGTAATGGGCACAGGTGTGGGGCTGGAGAGGGAGGAGGTTGTGGGACAGGGAGGAGCCAGATGGAGAGGACAGCAGTGGCCCAGCCAGGAGGTATGCTGGCCTCGTCCCCCTCGGTGTCCCTTCTACCTTCTCAGGGGAGGCTCTGTCCAACAGAGCCAAGTCCGACCACTTGAAAACAAGTCCCCGGCTTAACACAGACCCCAGAGAGAGTCTCCAGCCCTCCTCTCCCAGACAATGGTAGTTGCCGCATGAGGAGCTTAGAAGCAGAGCTGGAGATGGCTCAGGGCCTCCCGTCCCCCTGCAGCCGTTGTTAACAAACGCCTTGGAGGGCTCCTGTTGTTTCAAAGTGAGTCTGCAGGGAGATCTCCCTAGGTGGATGGAAGGAGGGCTGCAGCTTCTCTGCACATTCCTGCTGTCACCCCCAGAGTCACCTAGGTGAGGGGTAAGGACAGCACAGGTTCCTCACAGTTAGCCTTGGTGCCCACATGGTACTGAGCAGAGTAAATGCTGCCTGGCTAGATGAAGGGGAAGCTCCTACCAACCAGAAACTCACAGGGAGCTCAGTCATTGATTGGTCATTAATTGATTAGTTCTTTGGCCTGGCCCTGAGGCACCCTTTGTAAGTATTTCATGACCTCCCTAGCAAACCGGCTATCTGTCCAGCTCTGGACAGATCCCTCCTGTGGTCAGTCTGGCTACAAGGATTCTTCTGCCTGCAGGCCTTCCCCTGTCCTATCCTGTGAGAGCATCTGGGCCCCACCTGCTGAGGAGAGGGGCAGGTAGGCTTGGCCCCCGTTTCTGACAGTCCTACTTCTCTGTTTCAGATGCTGCTCAGGTTCAACGCCGTGCTGAGGAAGCTGCTCATTATCTTCCCCCACTTCTGCCTGGGCCGGGGCCTCATTGACCTGGCACTGAGCCAGGCTGTGACAGACGTCTATACTCGGTTTGGTGGGTGGGAGTGGAGGCCCGTGGAGCATGGGCCCTGGGTCCAAAGCTGGGAGGGCTACCGTGGCAGTTGTTGCATCAGACTGTGGCTGGGGCTGGTGCTGGGAGGGGAACTTGTTGGGCTGGAAGTGTCCTGCCAGGTAGAGGGGATGAAGGATGCCTCTGTTTCCATGGCTGGGAAGCCATAGGAGTTGGGAAGGGCAGCCTAGATGAGACGGGTGTTTGGCTCTTGCTCAGTTTCCACATAAAGCCTGGTCTAGTGGGCCTTGTGCTGTGGCCAGGTCTGTGGGATGAGCTGAGGTGGCTGAAGTGGACTCAATTCCTGTTGATGCCCAGGCGAGGAGCACTCTGCAAATCCGTTCCACTGGGACCTGATTGGGAAGAACCTGTTTGCCATGGTGGTGGAAGGGGTGGTGTACTTCCTCCTGACCCTCCTGGTCCAGCGCCACTTCTTCCTCTCACAATGGTACGTCCATGCCACACCCTGGGGCCAGTAGGCAGCTCAGGGCATCCAGGGCTAGACTTCACACCCACACAGTCTTCTCTTTCCTCAGGAGCCCCACTCCACGATGGATTTTTACATTCTCAAAGCCTGGCTTTTCCCTAGTAATACAAATAAAGAATTGGGTTAAAATAGGCAGATTTGAATATGTGAAGAGCCTCCACTTTAAAATATTTAAAATGCAGTGCTATTAATTTCAATTGCTGATATTTGATCCTTCTCATTTAATTACCAAATATATATTTTGATTGGATGATAGTATTGGAAATGACAATGGTTATGGGATATCCAACGTACTAGAAATAGACTAATGTATTCAGGAGAGAAGGGACATAGCAGGCCCCTTTGCTAATTAGAGATTTGGGAGTGGGGGAATAATATGGGAGTCATGTGCGAGGGGAAAGCAGGCAGGAGCCGTGTGGAGGGGTGCAGGTAGTGATCATGCCCCTACAACCCCTGGAGGAAAGTGGGTAGCCACCAACCCTGGCTTTTGACCAGGGCTTCTCAACTGCCAGGTTAGCTGGCAACTGCCATTCTTCCCCAGGCTCTTCCTGAGGCTAGGTGGGCCCCTTCCTTGCTCCCATCTGCAATCCAGGCCTACCTTTATTGTCCTCACCCAGGGGCCTGAATTGCCAAGCACCAGCCCTTCCTAGCAAGCTTTCCTCGATAGTGTTTTGTTTCTTAACTTTTTCTCCTTCCAGGCTGAGTGTGGTCACCTGTAAATAGATTCCAAGGACTTGGTTTTATGTTTTGGTCCGCAGGGAATTGATTTATTGGAAATGGATCTGCCTCCTACTCACAGGACTGTGAGAAGTGAATGAGATCACGGGTGTCAACACCCTCTGATGAAACAGAATACACAAGCAGTTCTAGTTATGGAAGACAGTGTCAGGATTGTTGTCCTTGGCACCCTCAGCCCTTGCAGACCCTCTCTGCAGCCTTGGCCACACCTTTTAGAGGCCTTTGTGTGGGAGAGCAGGTCAGGGAGTTGACTACCCAAACTGACTCATTAGCTTTAAACTCTGATGTCAGCACAATTCAATGAGTCCTGCCTGCTTTAGGGCCTAAAGAGGACTGGAGAAGTACACCATAGTCTCTGGCTTCCAGAAGGTCAGGAGGGTTCCAGAGAAGAGGCTGTGTCTTTAAGGATGGGGAAGATTCCATTTGGCAGGGTAGGAGGTGAACATAGAGGGACTGGAAACACATGCAGAGGCTGGGAGGTGGGAATGACCAGTAGGTCTGGGAACCAGGGGGAGGTGCCGGTTGCTGACAGAGGAGTTAGTGTAGGAGGTGAGTGAGAAGGGTAGGTGGGGCTTGATTGCAGGGCTCCAACTCCAGCTGCAGAGGGAGGGCTTCAACCTATAGCTGGCAGAGAACCACAGAAGGTTTTGAGGCATGAAGTGGGCTGACTCTGTTTCGGAGAGGTGGAGTTGGCAGGGCAGATGGGAGGAAGGGGAGGCTCGGAGGACAGTAACTACCCCTGACTGAGTACTTGCCCTAGAGGAAGGGTTTTAGTCATGACAGTGCTCCCAGGCCCTGAGTCTTTACTCTGTGCCAGGCACTGTGCTGTGTTCATCTTCAGCACAATCCTATGAGACAGGTATTGTTACCCGCCTCCTCATCACATGGTTGAAGGAGGCAAGGTTCAGAGAGGTCCAATGCCCAAAGTCACACATGAGGAGGCCAGGACTAGAACCCAAGGCTGACTCTGGACATGAGCCCTTGACCTCTCTACCTAATGCCTAATGCCTCTCCTGTTAGGAGCCCTTTTTTAGAATTAAGTCTTAAGGGATGGAAGCCCAGAAGGAAGCAGAAGCAAGCGAATGGAAGAGAGGTCAGATGGAAAGGACAGTGCCAAGGACACTATACAGCCAGCCCAATCCTGATCCCCTTTCTTCATGTAGGATTGCTGAGCCCACTAAGGAGCCCATTGTTGATGAAGATGACGATGTGGCTGAAGAAAGACAAAGAGTTATTACCGGTGGAAATAAAACTGACATCTTGAGGCTACATGAACTAACCAAGGTAAGGGAATGGGTATTAGTTTGGAGGTGCTGGTTAGATCAACAGTTGGCATGATGTTGCCATTTTCCTTCTATAGAACAATCAATATACTGATGCAAGCAATTTGGTTTCCTAATTTTATGTGAGGTCATCATCTCTGTGTTATAACTTGTCTTACAAGAACATCTAATTCCAATGTGCGCTCCCTGCCATTCATCTAGGGCACTGACATAGGGCCTCAGTGAGAACCACTCCAGCTGAGCATCACTCCCTTTTCTCTCTTCCATTTCTGCAGAGCATGGGTCAGTGTCAAGATGCCTCAGTACTCACTGCACCTCTGTGGCTGCCCATGTCAATATGTAACCTCCTAGTGCTGGTAGTTTTCTCCTAAACTATCCTTCGCTCTTGTTCCCTCTTCCCCTCCTTGCTCTAATCCTGTTTCAGTCCTCAGTCCAGTTTCTTCATATCTTGCAGATTTATCCAGGCACCTCCAGCCCAGCAGTGGACAGGCTGTGCATCGGAGTTCGCGCTGGAGAGGTGGGTACTCTGCAGACCACGTATGGAAGATTTCCGAACATCAGTCTTGTACCTGCCTCCGCTCCCCATAAGGCAGAGCTATTCAATAGAAACATAATGCAAGTCACATGCGTAATTTTAAATCTTCTGCTAGCCACATGAAAAAAGTAAAAAAACAAAAAAAAAAGGTAAAATTAATTTTACTAGTATTTTTTATTTTATTCAATATATCCAAAATATTATCACTTCAACATGTAATTAATATAAAACCTTATTAATGAGATAGTTGGTGATTTTATTTTGTTTTGTTTTTAAGTCTTTGAATCTTTACACTCAGGGCCCATGTCAATTGGGTCTTAGATGTGTTTCATAGCTCAGTAGCCACACATGTCTCATGACCTCTGTGATGGCAGCCCAGGTCTAAAATGCCTCCCCCAGCTCACACACTTGCCCTGGGGCCTGACATTTTAGACCTTCTTGGTCTCTAAGCCCAGGCTAGCTCTGTGTTTTCTCCTAGTGCTTTGGCCTCCTGGGAGTGAATGGTGCCGGCAAAACAACCACATTCAAGATGCTCACTGGGGACACCACAGTGACCTCAGGGGATGCCACTATAGCAGGCAAGAGGTGAGTGTCCTGCTCCTCCTGTCTCAGGGAGTCTCTC